CGGAGGTGCAGCGTGTACAGGTCAGGCCAACCAACCACATAACTCCTTTCAAGATTGGGGAGTTGATTGAGAGTGAAGGCCAGGCGAGGGCAATCATCTGATGGATGGAGAGAGAGTGAGATACCCACAGAAACACAGATGGACGGCACACACACATTTCCGTGTCATGGGAATGAGATTCCGCTGTGCGCCGTCAAGCCATACAAATACAGTCCATATGGGACATAAACACTATTTTACTTTATTTTGTACAACAACACTTATCCATCCATCGATCCATTTTCTAATACAGTACAGTTATCCTGATGAGGGTCGCGGGCGGGCTGGAGGCTATCCCAGCTCTCTGGGCAGTAGGCAGGTGACACCCTGAATTGGCTGCCAGCCAATCGCAGGGCACACATACACACACAGCCGTTGGCATTTGCAATCACACCTTGTGACAATATAGGGTGTCCAATGAACCGACCACGCATGTTTTTGGAATTTGGGAGGAAACCGGGGGACAATACTTATCCATATTTGTAATTTCATATGTACCAGTGGGTAAGGAGCCTCACCTTTTAATATATCCACACTTTCCTCATCATTATCGCCCACTAATAGTTAAGTAGCATCGTCCACACATTAAAGTGTGGGAATGAGTAGCCAAGTGTTATTTTTTTTACGATGGTTTGGTCCAAGTCGGGTTCACAAGCATCGTACCCTGAGCGGCAGGCCTTAGTACTAAAGACAAGTATTGTATCGATCCACAAATGCGTGGACAAATTGCTTGAAAACTACGCTTACACGGATGCAATACATTTGTGTGAACTTTTACTCACGGTGAATTGGGAAGGGAAATAGATATCTCAATGAGAAAGAATAATTGTTTTGTTTTGGTTTTGTTTTGGGAGGGAGGGAAGAATAATGAGGTTGCCTAAATGTTATGTGAACCACAAACCACATAAGTGAATTTATCTGCTGCTGCGCTCGTTGTGTATGAGCAGTTTCCTGCACAGAGACAGAGTAGAGAGGAAGTACCCCACATATCCTGATTCCTTTATGTTTATCCTGAGGCTGAACAGAGTACTGACCTTGTCACTAACCAACCAGTTTGTCCCCTTCCAAACATATGTTGGCCAATAACAAACCAGATGTATTCAGCAAGTTTCAATTTGTTGATGTCTTTCTTGGGACGTCACCATTCCTGTTCTCCCGGCAACACGGCCACATGATTGGGTCAGTTATTCATTTTTATGAGTGTGGTAGTTGTTCATGTTGTTAACACTTGAGATCGGTCTTGTTCTGATGACCACATTTTAAAGGTCATGGTCTTGTTTTCGGTCTCGGACCGGCTTGACTCGAAATTTTGGATAATGTGATTAATGTGATAATATGCAGAAGCACTCGGTAAAACAATAGATGCCTTCAATTCATGTTTCATCGCTGTCATCGCTGACTAACATTAAAAAAATGAAAATAAATACCAGAACTTAATTCAGGAATAGATGTCAACTAACATCAGCATTTATGATTTTTCTTAAGCCATTAAGATTGAGTCCAGCAGGAAGCTGAAGAATAATTGGACATCCTGCCAAGTTAAACAATAGGCCACTGTGATTGTTGAGTTCTGAGAGCAATGACAACTTCCAGCCACCCCAGCTGCAAAGTATTGGCTCCAACCAACAAACCATCAAGACCCAACGATCATCAGTTACATGTATTTACTTTAATTGGACATACATGCTAACCATGTTCATCAGTTAGCATTTACATAGCAAAGTTTATTCTCTGACCTTTCATCATGAGCCTTTTGCCAAAAGTCCCAAAAGAATGAAGAACAAAGTGAGATAACTTGAGGAATGCCACAGTAAAATCAGCATTACAACATCTGGAACATTCCAAAACAGTGTTATCGGAGGGAATATGGAATTTGGGCATTGTGTAAGATCCCATAAATTACAATGCATATTTCCATCTTCTTTAATGGCTGCAGCACTAAGACTATACCATTTTCAAATCAAAATAATACACACCAGGATATACCAATTAATAATTAATGCAGAATGGTAAATCTTCCAATAAATCATTTGCATAATGTTATGCTTTCACCATAGTTTTTTTGTTTGTCGGTGTATTGTCCAATAATGGTTGCGCAATTTTGGTTGTTTGGTTTTAATGCTAATAGAAGTAGTGCCCAGACCACTCATTGGCCACAGCATTAGGTACATTAGTAATATTTTTGAATGAAGGGTTAGGCTCAGTTACAGGTGGTATCACTATTTCCCCCCAGGCATTTTTTTTTATACATTTTGGGGTGCTGCAAAATGATGTGTGATTAATTTGTCTCATTTCACGTATGTTTTGTTTCATTACTTTTCTCACCTTCTTGCTTGGCCTAACCGCATCTTTGTCCATTCATTTCACCAGTTGTCGCAACCCAATCTGCCACTACACCAAACCCCACACACACACACATATATGCCCATAAAAATTGTGGGCAAATAACAATCAGTGTGACTGAAGAGCTTTCACCACTCCAGCCTCTTCGAGAATAGTGGTCTAAAAGCCTTTCATGTTTGCCACCCAAGTATTTACTTTTCTGTGGTTGTGGAAACATTTAAAGCCAAGCGAGACATAATGCGACTTACACACTGTGTGTGTTGTTCAAGAAACCCCTCTGGTGCATTTGAGGGCTCATTTGTCTTATGTTAAATAAGATATAAGAAAAGTCATGGGCCAATCTGGACTGTTCACTGCAATGCTTTCCCCTGTACTTCGAATCAGTTGGCAGCCTTGGCCTGATTTTTACTCACCTTCTCGATAGCTTCAATCGCTTCCTTAAAACATTTTCGATCCCTCTGCTGAACCTGTATTTGTGATACAACTGCAAAAATGAACAATGCTGGAAGAGCAAGTGTGGCGGATATCAGACTTTCTACATGTGTTGTTTCCAACCCTAGGGACCTGATAAAGTGATGGTAAAGCGCATCTAATGAGGTAGACAAGGTTGTTTCATAACATTTTTTTGTCATCCTATGAGTGATTCATACTCAATTTTTAAAGGGAGTAAACTACTCAGGATTGTCATGTCCTTGTTTATAATGATACTAGTGTCGCCTGTACTACCGGAGACAAATTCCTTGTGTGTTCTACAAACTTGGCCAATAAAGATGATTCTGATTCTGATTCTGATTCTGATTCTGAAGATATGTGAGTGAACAAGCATCTTATTTTCCAACAAGAAGATCGCAGCAGTGATACTATCTCTCAACTACAGACATGTCTCGTATGAAAAGAAGCATCTAATCCAAATGTTTTACCCAATCCCTATTCGTCTTTGTCCCTCTACAAATTGCACCCTTGCCTGGTGCTGATCAGCTATAAATACATGATCTGTTATTCATGTCTTTGTGCTTATTTCCTCCTGTTTGGAGTTTTTGTTTTCCATCAGTCGCTATTTTGGTGAAAAACCAAGCGTTCATTTGAAGGGCATCTATTGTGCACACTGTCAAATTTAGGGCAAGCAAATTTCCTGTGCGAGAGAATGCAAAGAGTAACGACTTACAACTTAACTACACAGCAATTCTCCAATGTGATCCTTCTGCCTGGGTCACATGGATAAGGTAACAACATGTACAACATGTACTCTCCTATTGCAGTTCTCTCTGACACCCCAATGCAACCAGAGGATTTTTAAAATTGCATTTCGATATTAAAGCACAAGTCTGTGCTAATGACAAAAATAATGAACCAAGAAAGGTCGCTTCCTAAAATAGTTTATTAAAAAGAGTGTACAAATGAGGCTTTTATGTGGTGTGGTAATTTTCTTGGCCGCTACTGATAAGGAGTCTGGGTCATGACTAATGTGTGGAATCTTTGATGTGGATGTTTTCACGAATGTATTTTTTGTGTGACCTCAAGAGGTGAGAAATTAACACAATTCATTATTTTCTGTCTTTTTGTGATCAGTGATACTCACATAATATAAACAGTCTATACACAATCTAAGGGTAAGACTGATTTTTTTGTTTTAATTTGTTTTTTTTTTTAAATTTCCTGATAGATTTTTATCCAGGAAGATATCAGTTGAGAAGAATGGGTTCTTTCGTTCTTTTTTCAATTGCGACTAAATCAAATGTTGCTCATGACTGTTTGTTTGATCTCCAAACTTACTATAGCAAAAACGACAACAACAAACCCCTCATTTACCAAGTCCGACAAGCATAGTCATTTCAAGATTGCACTGCAAGGGGCTTTGTTTGAATTGATAACCATTCAGTCAAGAGCCCAAGAGGCTGAGTTGCTCCCATGACAGAAGTTTTCCAACGAGAACAGACGTAACTCTTCTTTAATCTCCCAATGCAGTGAGGGGCTCACCATAACTATAAGCAAAAAAAAACCCCAAAACTTTCTAATACAAGCCATACACAAAAGAAGAATGTAAGGAATACAATTTTAGCGAAGATTATGAACATGCACAGTAACAGCCACAGCATTCTTTCCTGAGAGTCCATAAAAAAGAGCTGTATAAAAATCTAGAATTTCCAAAATTAATCATTTGTGCTGTTGTGTTTTTGTTTAGTGTATTTTACTCCATCATACTAAGAGTTATTTCGTATTTTGGGTACGATAGAAGAATAATTTAATACTAGGAGCAGCAAGAGAGAAGTGATGCTTCGCTACACGTCTCTACAACCACAAAATACGCAAATTTTAAATCCCAATTTCAAAGTAATACTTTACAATCGAGGCTCATCCTCACTTCAGAAAATGTCATCATTTCTGATTGTTGTGACACAGCTCATATTGCGAACGACAGGTGTCCTTTATGTGGCTATGTAAGTGAATGTATGGAGGACGTGAGCAGAAATTGAACTAAATTACCGAAATCGCCTTTCCTACTTGTACAAGTGATGTAGAAAAAAATAAGTTGTACATGAAGCTTAGTAAAGGCGCACTTCGGGCCGCTACGCTGTCACGTGATTGTCTGTGTGATTGGCGCATATAAAGCCGCGCATTGTGCTCCTCTGCGACAGAGGAGCTCATACAAGGAAGAGTGGAGAAGAGCCAAACATCACGAGAACGTCTCAGACACGACGCGCAAGACCTTGGCAAGTTTTATTCGCCAGACACTGACTGGAAAATCTTGTGCAATGTTGATGAGGAAACTTAAACCCTGACTGCAACTCGCTGTATTTTGGTTATCCGGTAAGTTCTTGAGCTGTTTTTGACGAAATAACTGATCATTATAATATTTAACAAGAGAAGTTGGACGAATAAGTAACACCACCTCTTGTCAGGCTTGATACCGATTCATTGTTTATATTATGGTGGGTGCTCTGGCAAGAAAATGCAATTCATAAAAAGTTAACCAGACGGGCCAAAAATCTGTTTTGGAAGTTACAGTGCTTAACAAATTTATAGTACTAGACCAAGACACAAGGTAATAATGACCTACTTTTCCATTTATGATGATCTATCTATCTATCTATCTATCTAATTGTAGTTGTTACTACAGTAGCATTGTCCCTCAAATTGCCATTCCTATTAATTTCTGTCCATCACTTGCATGTATACATGAGGACCCCATAATTTCATGGGACGCTACCTCATTGCTATTTTACGGAAATTGTAGTTGTTACTACAGTAGCATTGTCCCTCAAATTGCCATTCCTATTAATTTCTGTCCATCACTTGCATGTATACATGAGGACCCCATAATTTCATGGGACGCTACCTCATTGCTATTTTACGGACCTTCTCCCTTTAATTTTTGGAGCCATCACAGGAAATGGCTAGAGGGTTTTAGATGACCAATCTGTTTGTTTAGGAAGTTATTTCCAATCAAAACTCACATCATACCACATCGTTCTTTCTTTCTTGCTCAGGGCTTAATGGGCATGTCTCTTCAATAAAACGAGGCACCACAAATCCGCTAAAGAGAGTAATGGGTGTAAGTTTGCAAATTTTTAGGGGGCGGGGGGGGGGGGGGTGCATGGTAGCCATTGGGAATTTCGGGAGATTCCTGAACGGCCAGTCCATTTCAGGAACGGTCCACCTCCTGCGACCATTGCAGTATGTTTCGGTGCATGACATTCGCCACAGCCGCCCCCCATGTTGATGATGTCATGATTTGGTACGTGCCCCACCCTCGTTGATATATATTCCTAGGCCGCATTTTGTTCCCAGTACTTACCTCATGCGTGTGAGTTCATCCATATGATTTTGTCTTTGTGTGTGCAAATACAACAAGCCTCTGTGTTTGCACAGCCATCAATGCGAGCTGTGTTTTGTAGACTGCGCATGTGCATGAAGATACTGCGTGTACATTCAACAACCAGACTATAATATAAAACGGTATTAAAATCAGTTGGTGATTGACTGTGCTAGTCCACGAACATTTTAATTCAAGACTGTTTATGCGGGAATGCTTTGAGTTTAAGAGATTGTGCATACTGTGTTTATGTGATTGTAAACATATTTTTTTTATTGTCCTGAGAGATCCCATTGGCAAAGCCTTTTAAGAGTTACGCATGACTCACACGTGCGCTGACTGAAGACGTTTCACATTCAACTCATAAATTGGTACTGTTCTGAATTCAGCTCGTGGCAACAGTCTCCGTTCTCTTCATTCATTGAGAAAGAATTTTTGTATTAGGGATGATTTTCTTTCTGCCTGAAATGTGTTCATAAAGTCATAAATGTAATGACAAAAGGTTTTGACTACAAAACCTTGCAAAATGTATCTACGGTGTAAGAAAATGTTACTTTAAATTGTTACAGGGACTGAAGTAGTAGGATAATAGAAATTCTGTCGTGTAGTGGTTTACATACTGTAGCTGGCATGGGATGAATGCTGAAACAATGAACACTTCACAATTACCCTACATGTGAGTGATTGCTCAGCAGTCTGGGGTGGATTCCACCCATCACTCTGTAATATATCATCTTCTTTATTGTTTTGACCTCTTCACATGCATATAGCTACGCTTCAGTTCAGGAATTTGGGGCCTTACTTAAGCGCTGTGGATGTGAGGGTGCCCCAAGGCGGCAACCTTCTATTCATATTCAGTCTGTCATGGTTGCTCCATAAATATTGCAGTCATTTGGGATGGACCGCTTTTCGTGAGCCTGAACAAGATGGATGGATACCTAAAAAAAATCTTTTGGTCTTCTTGATTATATTAAAGTGTGAGACACAATACTTAGCTACTTTTACATTTTAAATGGCTAATAAATTCAGGGTGTGGTGAAACGTTCAGCCTATTAATGCAATAATCTTGCAAGGCTGTTTGAAAGCTCACCTCTAAACACGTCGCTGTTTTTCGGCTTGTCCTGCCTGATGATTTGTCTCTTTTCTCCTCAGGACACTAATATCTTGGGAAAGGGCTCCAGACCAAAAGCATCGATGTGAGATTGTGTACGTTGAGACTGCCTTTGACTGAGGAAGCGCCCCCCCTGTGCAAAAAAACCTCCCTCGCTTCACAATGAAGGCCTTCGCTTTACTGTGCTTCCTGATGGCTGTGGAGGTTGAGGCCTCTCGGTTCATCCGGGACTCCCCGACTGTGCCTGACACTTCTGAAGTCTTCAAGAATAATGCGTCCGTCTCTCGCCAACCCCCACAGCCGGCCCGACCGAGGGGTTCCTTCCCCCCAATGTGCTTAAAACCCACAGAGATTAAGCACGCCTTCAAGTATGTGAACACCATTGTGTCTTGCCTGATCTTTGTGGTCGGGATCATTGGGAACTCCACCCTGCTCAGAATTATATACAAGAACAAGTGTATGAGGAATGGACCCAATGTCCTAATTGGCAGCCTGGCACTGGGGGACCTACTTTATATCATAATCGCCATCCCCGTCAATGTCTATAAGGTAAAGAAAGTGCATTCATTTGGATTGCTTTCTGGTGTTGGTCTTGATCTTTAAAATGTTATAATCGAGGGGATGGGATGTGGGGGGGTTGATTTGCCGAACAGCCTAGTGCGTTTGCAAGTTCCTGAGGTTGTGAAAGTAACCTGAATGCACCATGTTGCTTGCGTAGCAAGCGTAAAGTGAATGTGCTTTTGCTGTTTAATAGCACCCAAGGTGGAGTTTACTGTCAAACTAAACACAGAACAAAAACATGTACATACGCTGTATATTTAAATACAAGACGTGCTTTATTTAAAAAAAAAATCACACCATATGATATGGGAAGAGACAACATTTTTTTTTAACTCAAAACTGTAAAAACTCAGCTTCACTAGGTTAGATCTTAGCCAAAGTCTGTCTGTGACAAAGATCATCATCCGGTTATGGACCATGTTAAATTACAAAATTTTCCTCACAGCTAGTGGGCAGAGCATGGTCGGGGGTTTTGGCCTCTGTTGTTGAGAATTGCATTGTTATAACTCAACTGCAAATGTTTGGATTTCATCCCAACTTTGTCATGGGTCATGACGAGAAAACAATTTCTCTTGGCAGGATGATAATCTTCCCACTGCCCCAAGGTGGTGTGTCTACCCACAGTCATAAGTTCATTTGTCCCATCGTGTACATATACACTATTTTACTGGTTTAATCTTAAAAGATACCTGCTGGATCTAGAATCTGTCATTCAGTTTGGCAACAATGAAGTACTTTTTCACAACGTAAGGCCTCGTCAACATCTCACCTAGTGTATTACACAACAGGAGATCACATCCAAGATATTATACCAGTGTTTAGTTCATTTTGACTTGATTCGAAATCGGTTTCCCTCCATGCACAGTTATAGCTTGGCGCATTCTATGCTGCACTGTGGATTCGTAACACGTGTATTATGAGCACTGGCAGCAATTGTGTCAAAAAGAAATTAAAACAGTTGTCTTGTATCATGTGCATTGCTGTGCATTTGACTTGAATGCAAGGCAAAACATGGTCAGGTCTGCTAATCTCCCAAACTCTTACTCAATACGCTTGACCTTGTCATCAAGGCAAATTTGAATCTTAAATAATTTTCTGTTGTTTCTGAGAAGCGCAACTGAAATGTAAAATGATGTTTTAATTATAAACTGCCAGCATGTGTTAAAAAGACCACTGGGGTTTAAAATTCTATTGTTTTTATTCCTCTCTCTTCTCAAAACACAATAACTTGAGACATTGCCCTGATGCTGAACTGATTTGATCAGCCCCTGGGAGAAATAGTTTATCTGAAAGGAGACACACTCCAGTGTTAGTTTTGGCTTTGACAATCATATAAGAAAAAAACAGAAGAATACAATTGGAGACCAAAGCCAAATACTGTGTCCTAACTACAAATTTCTCTGTCTTTATTATTGTCTCCAGCTCATAGCAGAGGACTGGCCATTTGGAGTATATGTCTGCAAGATGATCCCATTCATTCAAAAAGCTTCAGTGGGTATCACTGTTCTCAGCCTGTGTGCTCTAAGTGTGGACCGGTGTGTATGCTCGTAATCCACAACCAGCCGTGCAGAACCGCAGTGGTCAAATTGGCTAAAACTACCATGTGTGCATTGCATGTGCAGCTACCACGCAGTGACATCATGGAGCAGGGTGAAGGGGATGGGCATCCCTGTGTGGAAAGCAGTGGAGGTGATACTCATTTGGGTGATTGCTTTGCTACTAGCAGTCCCCGAGGTGCTGGCGTTTGACATGCTGGAGATGCCGTATAGAGGCAACAAGCTGCGCGTATGTCTGCTACATCCAGAGCAGAGCTCCAACTTTATAAAGGTAGGCAATACTATAGAATCAGGGGGTCACCAATTCCAGCCCTCGAGGGGCCTCCCCTGCATGCTTTCGATGTGTCCCTCTTCCAACGTACCTAAATGATCAGCTCATCAATAAGCTCTGTAGAAGCCCGAGAACAATCCTGACCATTTCAATAAGGTGTGTTGGAGGAGGGAAACATCTAAAGAGAGCAGGATAAGGGCCCTCGAGGACCGGAGTTGGTGACCACTACATTATTTACAACAAATCACTCTATTTGCAAAAAATGCACATTGTCTAGAATTAACTTCAAGGGTTCATGTTAAATAAAGTGTAGTCATTATTTTACTGTATTATACATACAGTTGTGCTCATAAGTCCATATACCTTTGGGCAGGGGTGTCCAACTATGGTCCTCGAGGGCCCCTATCCAGCAAGTTTGAATGTCTCCCTCCTCCGACACACCTAATTCAAATGATCAGGATCATTATCATGCTTCTACAGAGCTCGCTGAAGATCTGATCATTTGAACCAGGGGGAGAAATCAGACACAGGGGAGAAATCAGACACATGGGATATGGGGCTCTCGAGGACCGGAGTTGGACACTCCTGCCCGAGGGTATGTGAAGTCATGAGCACAACTGTATGTACTGTAGTGCTCCTAGTAAAACAAAAAAGATGAGAAAGTCTGGAGCCCTGTTCCAAAATTTAGGAACTTAAGTTGCTCATGCTAAATAGTTTGAAAATCTCTGAGTGTGTTTGCATCTGTCCAGTTCTACCAAGATGCAAAAGACTGGTGGCTGTTTGGCTTCTACTTCTGCCTACCACTTGCCTGCACAGGAATCTTTTACACCCTCATGTCCTGTGAGATGCTGAGTCAAAAGAAAGGCATGCGAATTGCACTCAATGACCACATGAAACAGGTATGACTGCAAGAATTATGGCGCACTGTGGTTGTTCAGGGTGGACGAAAAAAATGAATTCTTTGATGCGTTGCAATATTGAATATGAATTGCTTACTACATTGAAATAACGGATTATAAAATAATGTCATGCTTGAAACCAGAGTACATGGGTTCATTAATAGTTTAATTAATTAAGTATCTCCATGGAGTCCTACGCTCAGTTCGAAAGCACACCGTGGGTCCTCCTTCCCATGGGCTCACCACCTTGTTGGAGGGGCCAAAGGGGTCAGGTGCTCTGTGAGCTGGGCAGCAGCCCGAGGCGGGTGGAAGAGTGGAAGGCCATACCTCAGCAAAAAAATTAATCGACTTGTGGACAGCATGAGACGTCATTGTTAAGCTGCAATTGATGTTGAATGGCACATGACGTTGTTGAGACGTTGCAATTTTTTGTTGTGGTGTACCATTCTTGTTAACTTTTGTTTCGATGAATTAATGTTTTTTTTGTGATACGTCGCAAACTGAAACGAACCATAGCCCTACCAATTATGCTGAAAGATTTTGACCCCTCATGGGTGTGGTCAAGCTAACAACCCCAACTTGAGCATCATTTTGTCTTTGTGTAGAGGAGGGAAGTGGCCAAGACAGTGTTCTGCCTTGTGTTGATTTTTGCTCTCTGCTGGCTGCCACTTCACCTCAGCCGTATTCTGAAGAAAACAGTCTATAACCAAGATGACCCCAACCGCTGTGAACTCCTCAGGTAGGCGTAGACATCAGCAAATAAACTGCACACATCATGAGAACACATTGTTCTGTGACTTGTGACTTCCTGTCGAATTCACTGTGAACGCCTGTCACCACCCTCTTTCAGCTTCCTCTTAGTGATGGATTACATCGGCATCAACATGGCTTCCCTGAACTCCTGCATTAACCCCATTGCCCTCTACTTTGTCAGTCGGAAGTTCAAAAACTGCTTTCAGGTAAGATTCCCAAGACAAAATTACAAGAAAAACAGCTGTCAAGCTCAATACAATTCAACAGAAAGGATATCGGGCAAACACGTTTTAAAATAAATAATTACATTCACAATTAATTCATGAAAGTAAAAACGCACAAACAAGTCCCTGGTGGTTTGGTGGTTCACTTTCCTGACTTCTGGGGCCAGTGTGAGCTCTTTTCCGGCTCAGTGACATTGTGAATGTGAGTCAAAGTTGTCGGTCTCAATATGTGCCTTTTGCTTGACTGACTACTAGTCCAGAGTGGATTCTTCCAGAGTGTAGCCTTCCTTTTGCAGAAACAGGATAAGCACTGTAGAAAATGGATTGAAAGATGGCCCAGATACACACACACACACACACACACACACACACACACACACACACACACACACACGCATACACACACACACACACACACACACACACACACACACACGCCGTGTTGCAATTCAGCATGTTTGTGTGTGCCATCAGTAGGGCTGGGCGATATGGCTGAAAAATTGTATAAGGACCTAAGTATTTCATATCTGTCAATATCGATAATAATTAATTGAGAAAAAAGATGAACTGGATTAATGATAAAATACAATAAAACACAATCATCCAGAGGAAAAATACTAATCAAAATATCTGGTCGAAAACAAATTTTCAAGGAATTTACCGTACACCCCATGTACACCCCATGTACACACTGCTGTTGTGTACATGGGGTGATGTGCAATGTTGTCTAGCCATGTGTATTTGTAGATAATGTATATAAGCAACCCCAAAGCACTAGTGTTGATGCGGTTAAATTAAGGTTCATTCGCAGCTCATACAAAATAAGCGTGGCGTCTTAAAAACAACAACAACAAAAAAATCTACCCGTAAACTAATACTCTCTTGGAGCACATTCCTTTCACTTTTTGGCACACATATTGCTGGCATAAGGCATAATTTATTGTTTTTCTTACCTGATTGTGATTTCAATGCGATACAAAGTCGAAGGTTTGGAGCCAGCTAACATCGGAGCTAGCATGGAACTAGCAAGCAACTCCTTTACTTCTCATGTATCTATAGCCATCCAGAGGTTTTTAATCATATTAGTTTGCGCAATACAATGTTATTGTAAGTGTTACACGGAGAAAACTGCTCATTTATTTTAACAATGTTAAGACACAATTTAATTCGGCTCCCGGAGGCCACACGCTAGGGAGCTTCTTCAGGCTGGCAGACAAGCACATGGCAGACTAGGCTCACAAGAACGGTCCGTGTGCGCTCAAAACATGCACTTGTGCTCAAAATTTTTAGTCACGTGCTTGTAATTGTGGCACAAATCTAACTCACAGTGGAGCCAGGAACGCCTTTCAATTTGGGATTGACGTTTTCTTCCTCATTTATTACTATCGAACAATCTAATCTACTTTCCATTTCTACTGATCAAGTGTCTGTCACCAAACATATAGATATTGATTTAAAGCTCAGCCTTCGTAACTTTACTTTTCAATGTGGCTTATTTGCAGTAATTATACATTCATTCTCTCTATCTATTGTGCAAGATAGTTGCAATAATTCTTAACCTGCCAGAGGCTTGGGAAGACAGCTTTTTTAAAATTATTCAGGCATTTCAATTAACAAGATAACTCAATGCGCTTGACATAATTAAAAGTAAAACATTTAACTGGATTCACAAACCAAAGAGTGAAAGGCATTTAAAATCAAAGAAATAAAAAGTAGCTTACTAAAATGACTAAAAGAATGTACAGTGCGGGAACAAGATTTTGTAAAAAATATATATTTTCAAAATATTTAAAAGACCTTAATCGTCAATGCTGTAAGAAAAAAAAAAAAATTTTAACCGGGATTTAAAATCATTTACACGCAAGAGGAATGATCACATGCCAACTGTGTGCCCATTCATGCGTTCATGCATGGAAAAGTACTGTAGGGCCGACTCATTGGCTCCCTGCGGATGAGATCTTTCCTGCATGAAAAAAAGATAACCATTTTGTTCTTGCAGTCTTGCCTGTGCTGCTGGTGCTATGGAACATCTACACTAGATGAGCGAGGTTCCATCCCAGGTTGGAAGGGCTCCTGTCATGGCAATGGACTAGATCGCTCCAGCTCCCGCTCCAGTCAGAAATACACAAGCGCCTCATAAATATACAGTACATGCACACTTAGCCTGCTCTTATTTTCTTACAAACCCCTATGGCACCATTAGCAATGACGATGGACGTGATATCGGAGCTCGATAAGAAGTCTTCTAAGACTTGAAGTCTGAATAGGGCTGAAAGATATCAAAGGATGAGCCCAAACTGGACTGTACCTGCACAGGGACGACACCAATGCTTCACGCATACGGACACATTTCACACCAAGGCTTCTGAGGATAAATGTTCTTCAGTGGATGCTAAATACATTTATCAAGTCATATGTGAATGTCTGTACAGAACTAGTTTCATGCAAAATTGCAGAAACACACACACACACACACACACACGTATATATATATATATATATATATATGCACACACAGGGTTCTAAACTTATATATATATATAGCTAAAAACATAAAGGGAACACTAAAATAAAACATCCTAGATCTGAATGAATGAACTACAATATTCTGATTAAATGCTTTGTTCTTTACATAGTTGAATGTGCTGACAACAAAATCACACAAAAATTATCAATGGAAATCAAATTTATTTACCGATAGAGGTCTGTATTTGGAGTCACACTCAAACTTAAGTCAGAAAAACACACTACAGGCTGATCCAACTATGATGTAATGTCCTTAAAACAAGCCTCAGTAGTGTGTGTGTGGCCTCCACGTGTCTATATGACCTCCCTACAACACCTGGGTATGGTCTTGATGAGTTGCCGTTTGGTGTCCTGAGGGATCTCGTCCCAGACCTGGACTAAATTATCCACCAACTCCTGGACAGTCTGTGGTGCAGTGTGGCATTGGTGGATGGAGCAAGGCATGAGGTCCCTGATGTTCTCAATTGGATTCAAGTCTGGGGAATGGGCGGGCCAGTCCATCACATTAATGCCTTCGTCTTGCAGGAACTGCTGACACAATCCAGCCACATGAGGTCGAGCATTATCTTGCAAATGGAGGAACCATGGGCCAACCGCACTAGCATTTGGTCTCACATGGGGTCTGAGGATCTCATCTTGATCCCTAATGGCACTCAGGCTACCTCTGGCAAGCACATGGAAAGCTGTACGACCCGCCAAAGAAATGCCACCCCCACCATTACTGACCCACTGCCAAACAAGCAGCAGAACGTTCTCCACGGCGTCTCCAGACTCTGGAACATCTGACACATGTGCTCAGAGTGAACCTGCTTTCATCTGTAAAGAGGACAAGGCGCCAGTGGCGAATTTGCCAGTCTTGGTGTTCTCTGGCAAATGTCAAACATTATGCACGGTGGTGAGCTGTGAGCACAACCCCAACCTGTGGGCGTCAAGCCCTCATGCCACACTCATGGAGTCTGTTTCTGACCGTTTGAGCAGACACATGCACTTTGTGGCCTGCTGGAGGTCATTTTCCAGGGCTCTGGCAGTGCTCCTCCCGTTCCTCCTTGCACAAATGCAGAGATAGCGTAGCGGTCATGCTGCTGGGTTTTTGCTCTGCTGTGGCCTCCTCCACATCTCCTGATGTACTGGTAGTGACTGCACACTCTGGACACTACACTGACAGAGACAGCAAACCTTCTTGCCACAGTTCACATTGATGTGCCATCCTGGACGAGCTGCACTACCTTGAGTGGGCTGTAGACTGCGTCTCATGCTACCACTAGAGTGAAAGCACCACCAGGATTCAAAAGTGACCCTAACGTCAGCCAGAAAGCATAGGAACTGAGAAGTGGTCTGTGCTCACCACCTGCAGAGCCACTTCTTTATTGGGGGGTGTCTTGCAAATTGCTTGTAATGTCCACCTGCTGTCTATTCCATTTGCATGACAGCAAAAGAAATTGATTGTCAATCAGCATTGCTTCCTTAGTGGACATTTTGATTTCGCAGAAGTGTGATTGACTTGGAGCTACATCGTGTTGTTTAAGTGTTCCCTTTATTTTTTTATCATATATATATATATATATATATACTGTTAATGTATCTAGCTAAAGCGAGAGACGATAGCCTTAGTACAGTAACAGCACTGAAGCGTTGATAACCTCAGAGAAAAGTCAAAGTGAGAAAAGATGACGAGTCATTGCTTTGAAAAGGCAAATCATGCTTCTGCATATGAATAGAATCAGGATGTAAAACTGAGCACTGTCAGTGCCCATGTGACTTCAACATCACGCCTGAGAAATTGTGTTGATTTCATGCTGTTAACGTCAAGTGAAGGGCAGCTTTTTTGAATGTATTTTATGTACTTAATCATTGCCATTTTGTCAGATTGAAGAAGTCATAATGAGCGCCATTATTTCATTATTCCTGCTTGTTATTGCTTTATCCAACTGTGTATAACATCTAGTCTGAGGACAGATGACAAAATTAAGATGGTATACCTCTGTCGCTGTGTGGTTACTGTTGCAACTCTGGGCTCAGCCCATCGGTCTACAACAGAAACATCACTTGCATTTATTAATTGTTTGATTATCTGTCGGACTGTGCTGTTTTTAAAAAGCACTTTTTTTTGCTCATGTTTATACTTCTTTACGAAGCATATTTTTTATAAATTCTCATTCTGTTAAATATATTGTGTGGACTAGAAATCAACTTTTAAAATTTTCATTTGTCAAGGATAGATCTTACAATGTGAATTCAATTCAGTTCACCTTTATTTGTGTAGCACCTTATCAGACACAATGCAACTCAGAAGTGCTTTACAGTTCATACGATAACACCGAAAAACAAACAAAGACCCCAAATGAAATAAGCACTATTAATCCCTAAAAAAAAAAAAAAAAGTAAAATTTCAATCAATGCTGCGACAAATGGCTGAGCACAGAGGACCAGAATGAAGACAAACCGTCTCTCGGGGAAACGGGGAGCCAAGCCCAGCCTCCAGCCGCAGGGAGCCCACCACATGGGTGATCCCAACCTAAGCAGACACAGGAGACCCCATCCGCAGAGCCAGGATCTCGCTCAAGGCAGCAACCCTCCAGCCAGCAATAAACACAGCTCACAGTGTGGACAGCCCCCAGTGAGGAACATTGTAGTTAAAACAAGGTAAAATACGATCATACAAAATAAAACGGTGTGAGTAAAATCAATACATTAAATACATAAATGAATACAAATGTTAAAGTCAATCCTTGTGGTTTTCAGAGCTTTGTTCGAGTACTTCAGTTTTTTTCCAGTGTACTCCTGTTTGTATTTTTGTTAAATACTTCTTAGTCAGTCCAGCCTGCTCCTCCCTGCTTTTTTCGGGGGTCTTCCACCACCATCACGTAAAAACCCGACAGATAAATTAGCAGCAAATCCAATAAGTAAGAAAGGCCCAGACCCTAAAGAGGTCATGTGTGAACTAAACTTTGCCAACCATCTTTTGAGTGATACTTAGGGCTCAAACTATTTCAAGCATACTTTTTTTTTTTAATGCAACCCCCCCAGGTTCATAGTTAGACCCATATAAACGTGTTTAGCAAAAATGCTTTTCTTCGGCAATCTCTGGCGAGTGACGTCATTTACAGTCCTGAGTCGCCAATCAGTCTTTGTAATGAATTGTTGATTGTCCTGTTAACTGCTTTTTGCCACTGTGATTGAGTTATTCGGCAAAATGTAACTTTTCTGTGGTTAAAAATTAAGTTAGGAATTCTGTCTGCATGATGATAGTGATCTACATTAAATATTATTTTCGTTTGTAGCCCAAGAAAATCTACTGATCCAGTAATTAAAAATGTAGTTAATACTGAATCATAAATTCAATTTGGGGTAAAGTTGACTAACAAAATTACACCCATTTAATTAGTTTATTCCAAAGGGGAAAAAAAAACTTCTTGGATGCAACTTACATTTTTTTGCTTTGGAAAAATACACGTTTTTGATTTATATTAAATTGAAAATGATGCTTTCAACCACATCATGAATATAATTTGAGGTACCGGTAACTAAAAAAAATGGTTGTAACAAAATTACAGCATTTTCATTAATTTCTTCAAAATGTAATTATTCAAACGTTTAAAAAATACTTGGTATCAACTTTCATTTTTGATTTGGCAAAATTCATGTTTTTGATTTCAATTAAAAGTAATGCTTTGAAGCAGTGAATGTAATTTGAGAAAAACGAATACATTTAGCTGTAACAAATAACAGCATTTTCTTTTTTGTTTAGTCCGGCAAAACATTTTTTCAGTGGGGGGCGGAAGGGTGGGGGGCAGTGTAGCGCATAGACTTGGGGCTTGTTGATCGAACAAAACATGGCTGACATTTAGTCTGTAACTTAATATGTTTGACTCTTCCACAACACTTCCAAATTCCATCACTTCAAACTTAATTTTGCCTTTGTGCTGCTCTCCCAAATTTTCCATGCTGAAAACTATCAGAGCTACCTACGGCCCAAAGCCCTGTTTTGAATACCGTACTTTCAAACCTGTTGCCAATTGTGCTGCAATCTTAGAGCGTAGTACATCACATGCTACACACTCACCAACAGCACACGGAATCGGTTACAGTGAGCACAGCAATTTACATACAGCGATTCTCATACAAGGGTCCCTGGACACTCTGGCATTTTCAAGCTGCAACTTAGTCCACAAACAATTTGAAAACAATGATGCTTCATTTTTAAATGAGGAATACAGGGGCCGGGTCAGTGTGCCAATAGAGCATACAAAACCAACTGCTTGTACTTTACGACCTGAGTTTCGGACCAGTTAAACACTCTGATATGATTGACATCATTGATTGGATTCACTTGCTTTTTTTTTTCCAAAGCAGTCACAAGCGTGCTAAGTCACTAAATATAGCGAACAGTTCGCCAAGTTGGCAAAACTGACTGCGCTTTTGGAAACTAGTTTTGCTCGCAGTCGTGTTGTTAGTGATGACAATGGATAATTGGTTCCTTTCTATCACATAGCACATGAATAGTAAGGTGACAAAAAATTAACTACGCTCACGCTGCTTAGGGTTGCACACGGCAGTTTTGTGTCATTGGCGGTAGGATTATGAGGGGGTAATTGGAAAAAAAATTATCCCCTAAAAAAATGTTCTTGGCTGGAAAAACTCTGGTGAATAGTACACGTTTCTTATTTGAAGCGTCGGATAGAATAACTGTCTGTTAATGTCATTACAAGCGACATGCAGGCAGTCCGTCCCGTGTAGCTCCATTATTGAGGCTGTCCATCAAGAGTATGACTTGTTAATTTTATTATTTTTCAATGTCTCCTGAGTCTATCAGTGGAGGAAAGCTCAGATGAAAACATAACAGAATGTGTTGCATCATATAAATTCCGTTTTGAGACCCGTCAAAAACGTCTGAACGATTGTTCCCAAATTCCCAAAGCTGTCAACCACACATGCAGCCACGCGTTTACATGCAACTGGATACGATTAACCCCAAAAAACTTACATGTCGTTATTTACACTTCAGTGCCCTTATTTTTTGTTCTGCATCTGTTTTGGCAGCACAGTGTAAAGTAACTCAAAGCGCATTCTTCGGCTAATTATGAAAACTTCAGAGCCAAAGTTTCCTTCAGATGTCAAAGGCCTCCTCAAACGGACAGATGCAAATAATTTTGTGTTCCGAGAATGACATCAATGCTTTGAAAACCCTTGAAAGGGGTGATAGATACACAGCAGTTATGACAATACTGTACATAGATAACACAGAAAATGTCTTGTGGGAGACTGAAGAATGACAAATCAGGAAAAATGACTTGACACTGAACATTTGTTTTCTGAAGTTTAATGTTTTCACTCCTCAACAATTTATGAAATATGGTACAGAAAAGAAAAACAACATACTTTTGCTCACAAAAAAAAAACTTTTGACATGCCATTGCATTTGAACAACCTCTGTATGAAATGATACTCTACAAATTAGACATATTGTATATACAGGAAAATATGATGTTATCTCATTTCACTTGATGGTCTTCATTCCATGGGTTGCTCCTGCTTCTGTTTGAACTCTGTCACATTTGCCTGGAACAGTAGAACAGATCATTCAGGTTGAATTGAGACATTGACACAACGGTCTCTTGCTGAGAGGCTCTGTCACGGGTTCAAACAACACAAGCTGAGCAGTGCTCGCTGACACTAAAGGAAAATGACAGTGACTCCGGAGTTATGCACGAGACAGTCCGCAGCGCAAAGCCTTGGTTGCAACAGAACCAGCTTAAGCTAGATCCCCAGACCCCCATATAGAACAACCAGGTGAATGATAATTGTTTAGTGGTGAGCATTGTGAGGATGACGTATGCAATAGTTTTTATATGTCGGGAAGGACCAATGTTTAGCCTGAGGTGTTAGTGGAAGTTAGAGAGTCTCCACCATGTGTAAATATACAAGGACACCCCCACAGCAGTTTTTCGAATTATAATTGTCTGCAAGCAATTTATTTTTAAGGGTCAGTGTTAGATGAGTTGGCAATAATATCTAAGAGTTTTGGTAAAATTGTGTGTGGTATATTTAAACTACAAAATGTTTTTGGAGAGGTCAATAACTTCCTTCTCCGCCCTCTAGGTGTGTCAAGGGGTCGTTATTCCCCATAACACACAAGGGAAACAACAAGGCGTATGTAGGAACACAGTGTAAGTGTGTTAACATTTTGTAAGTAGAGACGCGTTTTCCATGTAAATGCCCTAATTCGTTCCAAGCCCCCCCCAAAATTCAGACATAGATGTTTTATGAAGCATAAAAATGCATAAAAAATGTAACAAATACATGTTACAATTAGATTATTGCGCAATAAATTAGAGTTATACATAATGTAAAAAACAAAGAATAGAGTCAAGAATAAAAATGATGGTCATTTAACTTTTAACTGCGTCCTGGTCGTTTTTTGCCCTCTTTAGTCCATGTTCTCTCTCAGAAGTGGTTTTTGCTGGCGTTTTGTCAAGAACTGATGCAAGGACGTTTGCTTTTGTCGGCTGATAACAATCCTTCGAAAATGTCCAAGGCAAACATCAGCGTAGTGAGCGATCGGCCGACTGGTAAACACTTTTTCTGGGTGATTCACATTAACGTAAGACTATTGGGAAACCTCACGGCCCAAGGGGCGAATGACGAGGACGCTGCATAGACACATATCTACTTATCTATCTACACACATAGACACACACACACTAGAAGCCCCTCTTAGCCAATGGGATGCCAGGATGATGCTCAGTAATAGCCAATGGCAGAGCAGCTTTAAGTATGTTGCGTTCGGAGCTGCGACGAGTAGCCCATACTGTATTTTTATCTTTCGTATCTTGAAATTTCTTTCGTAACAAGAGGCAATATTTTCCTGTTGAGACCTTTCGTAACGTCAACATTTCGGATGAAGCGACGTTTGTAAGTAGAGGTACCACTGTAATTGTTGACAATTGTATTATTGTCATATTATGTGTCCTGTATTATTGTTTTATGTTAAATGTTCCGTAAAGCTCTTTGTTAACGTTGCAGCTGTTGGTAAAGCGCGATATTAATAAAATTGTATTGTATTGTTGACTGTAATGTGTTACCACCTACATGACTACAACTGAACTGCGCGGTGACGGTCGTCTGTTCCATGTTGACTGAATCTGGTGTTCCCAGGCTCAAAACACCATCACCACAATAAAACCTTAACGAGTTCGGCGAAAAATGTTTCAAATACCATTTTAGCATATTTACATTTGATACGATCATCATGAAATGTGAACCGCTGTAAAATAAAATTAAATAAAAACAACTGAAACGGAACGGAAAAAGAACAAAAGGTATTTGGATCAATACTGTTACGAAGTGGTGCTTTATAGGTATTGCTGGATTCAGTCTACAATTACCAAAGTTGTCCAGCCCTGCTTTGAATTTCAATGTGATGGTTTTGACTTTGGCACACTGTTTCCAGAAAATGTTGGTTGACCGACAAATGGCACCACTTCGAGGATGTTTAACTGCTGAGTTTCCACTTTGCTTCGTTGCATATGTATTAGTATGTTTCTTTTGAAAACGGCTCCAATGTAGACACTGGTAAACACCAGTGCTTTATGTCTCATTTGTCTGTCTTGGCTGAGCTTGGTTAAACAAAGGCACTCTTTGTTTTCCAAGAAAACTTTTCATTTTTTTAGGTCAGGCAGTGAATATCATCACAATTTTGTGACTTATCCTGGCTTCAGCAAAGTACTCATGATTAACCGAACAACATCAAAGCTTTTCTTTGCACATATTGAGCATGTGATGTGACATTTCCACCAAGCCACAGCAAATCTCTCTCAGCTCTGAAGATTTTCTCACATTTTGGATCCGACTCCTGGTATCAGAAAAAAGAGGCTGTCATGACCAGCTGGGTAGTGGAACAGATGATTTGAGCTGCAGGGCGTGAGAATGATATGTGCCCTGGATACTGCAAACCAGATTAAGAAACTGTCCATCTTGTTTGTATACCGCTTATCCTGTTCAGGGTTGTTGAGAACTGGAGCCTGTTCCAGCTGACTTTGAATGAAAGGGAAATGACACCCTGGACTGGTCGCCAGTCAGTCACAGGGCACGTAGAGTCAGAAATCGTTCCACAGCACATTCACACTGGCACTAAGCGGGAATTCATCATGTAATGCTAGCATGGAAGACAGGTGTATGAACCATTGTAAGCATTCGTGGCTCACTCAGGAAATTATAAACAGTTACATGAGTTCCGAAACTTCATTTTTTCCAAGACTCAAGCAAACCGAAGCAGCATGTTTTCCTGAGTTTAAATCTGGTAAGGCTTACCTCAAAGGTATTGAGAATATGTTGACAAACATCCCGGAGCTCATTCAGGCCCCTTCTCAGAGGTTCAACAGCAGGAGTTCCATCTGTGGGGGGAAACACAGCAGATGCCTGTAAGGGAATGGCCCAATACAACTACAAAATACACTCGGAGCCAGCAATCAGCAATTTTAATGCTGCAATGTCAGTTCGAAGCATGCTCCCCAAAGTGTCGTCAACAACATGGGCACGATTCCAATTTGGATTTTGCAACTGGTTTTAAGTAGACACTTATTGAAGCTGTTGGACACGCAAGCGGCACTTTGCAACCTGAGATCAATTTCTTTGCAGCCGCACTCACATTTTTTTGTTCATCAAAGCCTTATGTCATCACTTGGAGTAGTGCATACAGGACTTGGGGATGCACCAAAATGAAATTTCTTGGCCAAAACGGGCAACTTAAGCTGAGATCAATGCCAAAACCAAAACAGTGAAAGAAATAATAATGGACCTTAATTTTTTTTTTCCCCGCAGCCGGATCATTTTCTGCACTATTCCAAATTCGTTTTTTTTGTTTTGCTTTTTGCATGCGTCGTGGATCATATTTTTTCCATGTCAATATCAACAGTACATTTTTTTTCCAAATCCATCCCAGGTGTCTTCCATTTGTGGACATAAAGTGGATATGTATCCAATGCGACTAGAGGGCCGAATGGACGTGAAAGCATGAAAGCCAATTATGTGTATTGACGTCATGTTTCTTGCTAAAACACCAAAATTGCAAATTGTCTTCAATTTTAAAAATGTTGACATTGCAAGCATTTTTTTTGTTTACGGTCCCTCTTTTAAAATGTAACATTTGAACAAACTGTCTTCTGACTTATTCATCTATTTGTTGTGCGCTGTATATGCAATATATTGAGTGACCCTGCATGTGTGTCAGAGTTTTAACATGTTAATATTAAACGGAGCTAACTTATTTTCACACCTGGAAAGTCTCTTGCAATGTTTATGGCATTTTAACAGTACATTGATTACAGGTTTCATATCGGTGACTGTTTATCCTTGGAATCCCCAAATTCTCTGATACGTAAAAGTGTGAAGATGAGTTCACCATTGACGTCTGCTATGTCGCAGATCTTGAAACTTGGCATCATTTGGAATCCTCTTTATTGTTGTCATTCCAAAGTTTGCACTCCGCCATTTTGTGATGCACGCAAAATGCATTGCACAACAAAGGGATACAAAAGAGGAACAAAGCAATATATAATTTTAAATATTGGAGAATTGTCGACATCAAAGTAGATTTAAAAAAATGAGCATTAATTTGTGTAAGGAAAAGCAATAATGTAATGTAAAAGATAAAAAAAGGTGGACAAATTGACCACTTTTCAGTGTCACATTACAAGACGACCAAAAATAATCCACACTAGATAAGGCACATGTTTCCTGCTCCGGAAGAGATCACTGTTTACAAGGTCATGAGCTCGAGGCCCAAGGATTCTTCAAGAATCCTTTCCTTAGGCCAAAGACAACAAGCTGTCTCCATTGTGCATAGATCATTCATGTGATAAAACCACAGTTGAAAAACATATTTTCTTTTAGTGAGAGCAGTCATTGGTCTCTTTCATCAAAGGGGAATGCGTAGGCTACTAAAAATCATGGGACAGTTTCTTCTTGATCAAGTCACGTTTAATGTGCTACACAGGCAAAGAAAATGGCTACTCCCTTGCTATGTTGCACATTTCTGCTCCAGCGAACAGTAATGTTGTAAGACAAAATGAGAACCTCAACAGAGAAGGATTTCACAATGAATCCATTAAAAAAATTATTTGTTCCACCAATAGTTTGACATTTGCACTAATGGGTGTAAAATGTAAAGTGCAAGTTTTACGTTGCTATCCTTTCTACTCTACCACATGGTTGTAAACAGAGACAAACACACAAAAAAACCCATTTATTTTGACATCTGTTGTTGTTAGAAGTAGTAGATAAGAAGAAGCTTTTGAAACGGTTCGAGAAAAGACAAGAAATAGTAACAAGTGAATCCAGTGTCCCGAATCTCAACTCAGTTTTTTCCCCCTCTATCTCACATCTCTCCTTGTATTCCTGCATGTAGGGTTGGGTGATATAAGTATCATAACAATTTCAGAATTGGTTGATATTGATCATTCATGCCTTTTTCTTTTAACTGTTAAAAATACGAACCCGGAGAAAAAGGTTAAATTTAGGTGATTTTGTTTAAACATTGAATATTTAACTGTTGATAAGAGGTCAACACAACTATGACTTTTTTTTTTTTTTTTAATCTGGTAAATGTAATGATTCAATACATGCCTTTTTAATTGTTATGTGCTTAGGAGGGCTGGATGATATGGCTGAAAAACATTTTCCAATATGAGAATTTCCTATCAGTTAAATTCCTGATTGACATGTTTTTAACCTATGTGAAATACGAAAAACAATTACATTGATTGAAGATCAAATTTTAAAAACAATTCATTGGAAGATACAATGAAATAAAGCACAACTATAAAGAGAAAAAAATATTATTCAAAATATCGAGTAGTAAAATACATTTACAACAAACGCACACTGTTTTTGCATCGATTTTAATTGTTTGTGTATGTTGTAGTGTAATACTTACGTCTTTTCAGACTCCACACATTCAATCCCAGGCATGTGTTTACATATTTATAATTGTTTTCAAAACTTAAGTTAAAAAAGGGTCTGAAAATCGCTGGTACTGAATGAGTTTAATGTAACCTTAGAAGCATGGTATCAATTTTATTATATTATAAGCTCTTCCTCAAAGCAGGGTGTATGTGTTTCTGAAAGCCTGTACCATAATGTTTTATAGCACAGGTGAAGAAAATGGCTACCCACTTGCTAAATTTCACATTTCTGGTCAAAAAAAAAAAACAAAAATTATTCCAAAAAAAAACATTGTTGTGTCCTTTACCTCGTGTCTGAATGCGAAAGTTAATCTTGCTCTCTGATGGATGGGTGATGGTGTAGCCGCAAAACTCGACAGACTCGCTGGTGAATATAAAGAAAGCAAAAGTGAAATTATTGTGAATTGGGTGGGACAGTCAAAAATACTTCATGTAAAAAAGGGTTTAACGTGGATTAATGTTATAAAACTACAACCAAAATTCACATGCACATCTTCTGCCCACATTAAAGTCTGAAAATATCAAAATAATTGCCACAGTATTTTGGATTACATGGGCATTGAGCTTTTCTCTCCCTTTTGAGATTCACATGAGAGGAAAAAGCTCAATGTAACAAAACTACGACCAATCATCACAAAAAATCACGTGCACATCTCTACCTGTGCCCACATCAATGTCTGGAAATATCAAAACGATCGCACCAATATTTGATATTTCATGGACATTACCGGCTTCTTCTCCATAAGTACGCACTCAAACGTTTGCTGTCCATAACATCCAAAATACTGACAGGATTGTTTTGATAGTTTCTGAAATTTGTGTGAGCATGGATAGAGATATACACATGAATTCTGGTGGTAATTGGTCGCAGTTTTGTAACATTAAGCCACGTTAAACTTTTTCTCTATTGTGAACTTCTATAGGGAGGGAAAAGCTTAATGCCCATAAAATCCAAAATACTGTGGCGATTGCTTTGATGTTTTCAGTGGTTGAAGTGGGCGTAGGTGGTGCATGTGATTTTTTGATCGTGTTCGGTTGTGGGTTTTGAACATCAAACCACGTTCAACTTTTTAGACTGCACTCAACACTACTTCATTCAACTTGATCAAAAACACTGACTCTTTCATGATCATATATCGCAGCGAATTCCCCAAGGTATGGTCTTCATCATGCATCACAAATGTCACACTCCCCTCATCCGAACCATCGGCTTGGACCTAAAACGCATTGCAGAAAAAATATAGAGTTCAACTTCGAGGCTGTCATCAAATGTCACCTATCAACAGCGCTCCCTCGTGGAAAGCACGTCACGTGTTGTCGGGTTAAATTCTAAGACGTAAATGAAGTCGTTTCCTTTACATTCTAGAGTTACGCAGATTTAAGATAACCAATAATGTGAAAAGCCTAAGTGTTGATTAAAAGTAGTTTGATCACGAATGTTTCAGGTGGTAGCAATTTCATTTGATAACCGCCACAGATGCTAGTGTGTACAGTATCTTAGTGTGTTGTTAAGAGTTAAGGCCATCGGTTCCCGAAGGAGCGGTCTGGTGATTCTAAAAGTTACATGTGCAACAAAAAAAAAAAAAATGGTTGTGCGATGTTTAAGCCTCTTACCATCTCTAGAATTCGCTTCTTCTCGCCTTCAGCAGCCATGCTGTACGGTTACTCTTACCACAGTACGATTTTGCGTTCAGTCCCACCCGTAGTTTTGTCTGACAGGAAAACTCAACCTGAGAGTTTGTTTACTTATGTGATGCATATGTTATTTAAATCAACTAGATTTGCTGTATTTTTAATTTTGTTGACGTAGGGTATGCATAAAATGCAGATGTAGAACAAATTCCCTTCCAAATATCCTGTAAGAATAAAACGGGGGAGTACAAATTTTTTAATGTCGCAATATCATGACGTCATTAAAACTCTAAAAAAAATAACGTTAATACGTTGTAGTTCAACATTTAACCAGTTCTACGCAGTTTGCGTTTATGAAATGTAATGTGGACTACATTACCCATTAACCGAGTGAATAGGGTTCCGGTCTGAAGGTCCGCCTGCTAGTTTACAAAGCAGAAGTCACTCGAAAGGGATTTGCTAGGTTTGGAAGTCTTGTGAGATGTTGGACTTTTGTGTCAATGTGCATTTTTGAAGGCCGATTATTATCAAGGTTTTGGAGTAAGCGTTGTATGTCACATTATATTGCTTTTGGCGTTTATTTGGATCAGCATTAAATGTGTAATGCCGAGTGTTGTCAACATTGGCGAAAGCAAACAAAAAAAAACGTCAGTTGAGGCGTCATAGTTTGTGATTGGTGTTATTTTGTGTCGCTTGCGCTAGTCGGATCTCCTCTAGCTGTTTGGAATATTTCCGATTTGATTTGAGTGTTGACGCAGACATATTCGTGACTAGTATCATTAAAACGTTCAACTGGGAGTTTCAGATTAGTGTCCCCCGATCCCCCAGTCATATTCTTATGTTGACAGATCCGTGCCAGCTGTGGCCATGGCAATTCTCTTTGCCGTGGTGGCTCGTGGAACAACCATCCTAGCCAAGCATGCATGGTGTGGTGGCAACTTCCTCGAAGTGACTGAACAGATCTTAGCCAAAATTCCATCCGAGAATAACAAGTTGACATACAGCCATGGCAGGTAGGTGTGCATTTGCTCCACCCGCATGTTTTACGTGCTCACCCTCAACCATTAACTCCACATGGGGCTTTGCATGTATTTCTCGACAAATACATACAGTACGTCCGACTCGTTTGCGGCAGGCAATGACAGTGTCGTGATGCACTACCAGATTAGTGTGTAACCACGTTTGTAAAATGTAAGTTACTATTTTTCCCCCCTCTCAAATTATTATAAAGTTCAGTTTTATTGCTTTATAAACAAGGAGATAACAAGTAGTTTAGTTTATTAATTAATCATACGGAGATAGTTTAATGTATTGTATTTATTCTATCTTTGGCAGACGAGTGCAAGGTAGGTCAATAGAATTACACACCTGTCTGATTGTCAAACCAAAAATAATAGCCTCCTGACTAAACTTTAATTACCAATGTGGTGTTTACACACTGCATACACATACAAATACTGAAAAGGAAAGAGAGACTTTTAGTTTCTTCCTAGGGAAAAAAAAGACCAGCTCTTGTTTTCAGTTGTGTATTCGTTAACATGGGGTATGTGGGAAAATATGAAATAATATTCTTTAAAACACTCTTATCTTCCAGCTATCTCTTTCATTACATCTGCCATGACAGAATCATATACCTGTGTATCACTGATGATGTAAGTATTGGTTCACGTCATCATTTAATATTCTGTATAAGCTTCTTGGCATCTCAGCCACTTTGCCAACTTGACAGACAATAAAACAAATGCAGCTACTGTAATGTGTTTTTGGCAGCACTCATTTCAGCTTCAGTATTGTGTGTGTATGTGTTCAATGATATTCTTTTTTTTTTGTGTGCGCGAAAGGACTTTGAAAGGTCTCGTGCATTCAGCTTCCTCAGTGAGATCAAGAGGCGCTTCCAGACCACGTATGGTTCACGAGCACAAACAGCCCTGCCGTACGCCATGAACAGCGAGTTCTCATCGACGCTGGCTGCTCAGATGGTGAATATGACAAGAGTATTATTTATTTATGTATTTATTTAAATACAAGAGTTATCTCTACTTTTGTAGCTATCATCTCATTGATAATACCACTCTGCGGTAGAGCTCGGCGATATGACAAAATACATTGCAAAGATGATAGAAAAGTACTTGTCTATTGTGTCGCTTTAAGATGATAAAACAGTATTATCGTGTCACTTTTCTCATATCGTGTGAATCTTCATTTGACACTTGCATTATCACCTACAGCACAGCGATTACAACAGACGAATCATGCTGGGTATTCCTAAGTTCTAAAGGCTTGCATAGTAGTTCGTTTTGAGCCACACACACACAAAAGAAAATGACAGTCACAGATTTTTAAGTTTTTCCTATAGTTCCTAAAATTGCTTTGCTGGGCTCTAACATCACCTACATGTGATTAGTTGGCAGGTCAAGGGCGAGATTGGTGCCACTTCAGCTGCAGCAACTTGCTACCAACGAGCTTTGGCTGTCTACTACGACTACTACGCATAAACACGTCACATTTTCGCTTCTAAATCAGTAATCACAGCCTCCCTGGCCACGAACAAGTTACACTTCTTGCAAGTATCATTCATGTGAAAAGATTACAAAGAGTTGTTAACAGGGAAAGGTGGAGAAGCCATGCTAACTACGAAGCAAATGTAATGTTATTGTGAAAGATCGGAATTAAGCTGAGGAAAAAGATCTCTCAGAAGCCACATAAATGCAGAGCGTACCAACTTTCCTTTACTTTTTAATGTTTTTTTTTTGTTTGTTTGTTTTTTTTTTTGCAAGAAAAAATGTTTATTCAAGAAAATTCAGCATGCGTGTTCTCATTGTATTTACACTTTTCCTTGCAGAAACATCATTCAGATCCTCGGGGATCTGATCGGCTTACTGAAACACAGATGCAAGTGGATGACCTCAAGGGGATTATGGTCCGCAACATAGGTGCGTGTCTCATTAACATAGATGATGGTATTTACACTTACGGTTCTATCTACTCATTTTTACAAATCATCGCAAAAACATCAAATTATTATTATTCTTCTAATTATTATTATTAGTGGTATTATTATTGTTATTGTTGTTGTTGGAATATTCCTTTGGTGTGTAGCTTCAGTGTTAGTCAAGAATGAATTAGTTTAGTTTATATTTTTTCGAATAATGACCAGAGCCAGACTTCTGAGGCTTATACAAATAAATATTATTGGGACTGAGCTTTCCAAAGTGCTGGTCTAGCTTGTTCAGTTTCATTACTGAACAAGCTAGTAGCCTGAAGTAGCCTAACGTTACTTTATTCAGCGCTGACATGTCTAAATTAATAGTTACCATATTTTCCTCACTGTAAGGCACCACTAAAAGCATAACATTTTCTCAAGAGCCGACAGTGCGCCGAACAATCCGATGCGCCTTATATATATATATATATATATATATGGATCAATATTCTGATTTATCGAACGTAGTATTTTAAATGTTCTGTAAAGCGCTTTGTCACAGCTGCAGCGGTTGTGAAAGCTCGATATCAATAAAGCTGTATTGTATTGTATTCCCTATAGCGTAGCTCCATCTGGTAGATGCATAGCGCAACCGCAGCCACTCTTGCAGCTTCTATTCTATGCGCCTTTTACTGTGGTGTACCCTAAATATGAAAACAGTTTTAAAATAGGCCATTCATTGAAGGTGCGCCTAATACTCCGAAGCGCCTTAGAGTGCTGAAAATACAGTAATTTGAATTAGGAATATCATGTATAAATTATTGCCATCTGGGTTTACACACACAAAAGGCTTCATTTGTGAGGATAAGTATTTTGTGCATTTTTATGCTTTGCAGATTTGGTTGCGCAGAGAGGGGAGAAGCTGGAGTTGCTGATTGACAAGACAGAAAATCTGGTTGATTCTGTGAGTGTTTTGTCCATTTTTTTCCAGTGTATACTTGATAAGAGCTGCATAGTTATGTCAAGTCACGGAAACTCCTTTTCTGTTTTTAGTCTGTCACGTTTAAGACGACCAGTCGTAATCTGGCCAGAGCTATGTGCATGAAAAACCTCAAGTTGACCTTTGTTGTTGTGCTGGTGTGCCTGGTGAGTAACTGTGTCTCATTTTTTGTTTATAATCTGTGTAATATTCGTTCATTCATTTTTCAAATCAAAAATGTGTATCTATCTAGCTTGTAGCTATCCTGTAAGAATGGGACAAATAACATCATAGTAGTTGTTACAATTGGTCTAATTCTGTTGTTTGACTCTGACAAAGTTAAATTTCATTAGCCATTGTTTCTTTTGACATTGCTATCGTGATACAGTGTACACGATGGGGCTTCACTGTAGGAAAATAACTTCTCTCTGCCTTTCAGGTAATCATTTACATCATTGTCTCTGCTTCCTGTGGTGGCCTCACCTGGCCCTCTTGTCTCAAATGAGAAGACCATGGGCATAATAGGACTGATGCAGAAAAGGGGGACAGAAGCCACCTATTCAACCATGGTTGCCAGTGGACAGAAAAAAAGGACACAATAATTGCTTTTTCTTGTTTTGCCTCAGTTTGCCTGAAAGACAGTTGCTCCCACTGCTGTTGCTTTGATAGTGTACACTTGCCTTCAGCAGAGGAACCCCCCCTTCCCCCCCACACCCCAATACCATCGCGGCAAGGTGACCTACAACTGATGCAGCACAGTAATCTTGTCTTAAACTATTTTGTCTGTCTGATTTATAGCACTTTCACTGTATCTCTGTATTCCATCCTTTCCAACTGAAAACAAAAGGTGACTTTATTTACATGCTTGTTCATTAATGTGCACCGATGAACCTTGACACATGGAAACTAGAAGCTTCAGAGATGTGGAGAAGATCGATACACTGTCCCTGGTCCCTTTACTGAATACTACTACTGGACAAAAATACATGTAACAAATAACCTAGGAATAGGGTGGGTATTCACCCACCCTATTCAAACACAGATGTTGTAAATCTTTTGTGTTTTCTTACCAATCACACAGTGCATCATGCAGTAAATTATGTAAATCAGTTATTATACAAAAAAATTATATTGTACATCTGAATGATTATGTGATTAATATTAAATATTTGGCATGTGACTGATGAATGGTGGTAATTACTAATTCAAAATGTAATTTTTTTTCCTCATCTTCACGATATTATCTTAAGGTCTCCATATTCTTTAGAATCATGCAAGTGTTTGATAACTATACATCCTGATTTGAAATGTAAAAATGATGCTAATATGGGGTTGATGTCTGCAGCAGTGAAACAAGACCAGGATTGTAAATTAAACCTTGCAGTAAATATTCATACACTTATACATTTCCAGATGTGAACATAATTGTATTGACATTTTCTCGACGTCAGGTTTATGTACATTAAAATTTCCATTTGAAACTATTAACCATGCAAGTACAATATATTCAAAACGCATTATTTTAATGAAGACAGATTTACGAAAAAGTCAACATAAAAACCACGAGTGATTTTTTCTTCTTCTGTGCTGCAGAATTTAAATCGACGTAACCGATCAGTCCAGCGACTGCATTGTCATTTCATAAATAGGGAGAGGGTCAAAGTGCACGTAAGCAAAAACCAACTGTGTCCCACGTGTGCAAATGAGTGTTTGAACATGCGCATCTCCATGTCGGAAATAGGACCTTAACTCACACACTCCTGACATTTCTGCAGGTGACAAATTGAGAGAACTCTGCACCGGTGTCTGCCTCATCAAGCTCTCATACGACGCGCTCACCGTGTTCGTGCACGTTACCGGTGACAGGTACACTCTGTACTCTGCTTTGTTTTGTTTCGATACGTTTATTAGGTACATACCACTCAATTATTGACTCCTTTCATCGTCACTCGATAAAGTGCGCTTGTCACTCATTCATAGTTTAAATATTGGGGATTTAGGGTACATAATTTGAATTTCGTCAACATAAACGTGTTCTCGTGACTGCTAGCTAACGATGTTACAATGCCAATTTCGTGCCTCTTATTTATCTGAAATTTAATTGTAGAGGCTGTTTAGATAATTGAGCCAACGATGCTGTAGCCTAATCGTGGTGTCAAAACCTCTGGCCAGTTGTGGCGCTTAAGTTTATTCTAAATTTTTAGATAAAAGTTCGTTACGGTTTAAATAAGCAACAGCTGCCATGTAAACTTTGCTGAAAGCATGTTTTATGGGATTGTAGGAAGAGCGTTTAAAAGATATTTGTCGGCACCCTACACTTCAGTCCTACTTGTTGGAGGATAATCCGCCTCCCCCCCTGTTCTGCATGTTTGGCAATCGTCTCGTGTGTGGCTGCAGGTGATTTTCAATTAACGTTACTGCAAAAAAACCCAATAAGATGCATCCAGATTTTGCTCACTCAGTGACATTCGTATATTGTACGACCATGACGAATACTGGTGCCAGTGTCAACACCCAAAGTCCCATATGCTAGTCAATGCTTTTTTTGTATTTTTTTCCTGATCGAATCAGAAATCATGAGATTTCTTTGATGTACAGTTAATTGCCCATCTGTTAACGGGTCCATTGGCGTGCAGAGAGACATCCAAATTAAAATGCCTCTCAGGTCAGGCAGTTTCCGAGCAGCTCCAAATGTTGGTGAAGAGGCACTGATGTCCAGGTTCGCACAGTTGTCATCTGGGAGCAACTAGCACCGGTTACTTTGTAGATGTTTTGGTGACGTTACGTACCTCTGGGCATATCTGCGGCCTCAGACATGTTGGAGGCTGATGTGTCGGGTTTTTTTTTTTTTTTGCCGCTTATTAAATTTGATTGCCTACATCAGCAAATGGTGAATTACTGTTTACTATTTTTGCGTTCACGAATCAGCACTGCTGAGTTCACTCCGGCCATTTACTCAGTCCTACGTGTGTTCTGACCACTTCGTTGAAGGTAAGCTTTAACGCATAGCAACATAAAAATTTTAAATACAGTACTGTACATATATTATTAATCTCCACATTAAGTCTTTGCATTTTTTGAAAAGATTTATAAAATCATTAAAATAATAAAAATTATTAAATTGTCTGAATTACAATCTTCACTTCAATTAATCCTCCATTCTGGCATTTTGCACCATGATTTAAATGCGTCTCCTGTCCAGTTTACACCATAGTACCTGGTTGTCATGGGCCGTGTATGGCTTAAGCATAAATAGAAAGTGTCTTCGGGGTCTTAGACTGTGGCGACACACTGCGGCTGTAAGTGTGGGGATCAAGTGTCAAGCTGTGTGTGTTTCGCAATGGGCTATGTCATCGGACCATCATGTTTCAGTGCAAGATCATTTATAGTGTCTTGACAGAAGGAGTCCCAGTATGTTTTCCTGCAAACTAATTTGTGTCTAGAATTTAGGATTGTGCAGTATTTTACGTGTTTTACGTTCCCCTTTTGAATTATCCGTCTCTAAAAAGCTGCCTGATCCTTTCTCTCATAAAAGAGAGGCTTTGGCTGCTTAGCAACAGTCAATGCCATCTAAGCCTGGCAGTCTGCGGCCACTCCCCCTGTGCACTGGGCTCATCGGGGCTGAGTTAGCCAGCGTGTTCATTTCTTGGTCAACTTGTGTCTGGGCACAGACTTTTACCCTTGCAGTGCTACCAGGAGTTGTGGGCAATGTCACTTTTGACCAAAGGCCCTCAAATAGAGAAGAGCTAAAAAGCAGAACACAGAGCCAACCCAAGATTTAACGTGAGATTTGCACAGTTGACTGAATGCGAGGAGAGAACTGCATCTGGGTGATTGCTGTGAAGTGAGTCTCCTAACTACTGCTTGCTCAGTTGGTGACATCTCTGACTTTTCTAGCAAATGCAGCAATTTGCTTTAACTAATAGTACAGTGATGTTTTCTTTCATTTGTTTATTTTTCCAAGGTATCTCGAATCCTGTTATTTATACAATCAACAATTTCTATTTTGTGTTTTCTGCAGAGTTCTTCAACTGAATAATGTACAACAAAGAGAATAATAACAAGGTCAGATGAAGTTCTATCTTTATCCTGCTGTTTGCTGTTTCACAATGCCTGAGAAAGTTGAAAGTTGGTTTCCCTTAGCATGTTGCTCTCTGGATCACTGCATTGCGCCAAACCTTTCAGAACTTTATTTTGTTCCCATTCATCCGGAATAATATTCCCACGGGCACAATTGTGGTTTGCTAATAAATATCTGAGCAATTGAATTAAAAGAAAATCACGCTGCAGCAAAAAACTTTGGAAATATATTTTCATTTTAAGTGCGGTTGAAGTGTAATTAAACGCACTAAGATGTCAGCCTGCATACTCGAACCTTTTAACTGGTGATTTGATGCTCTCCTGTGGTGTGAACCACAATGGTGCTTTGGTTTTAGAACAGAGTTTGAAAATTAGTGTTCCCGCAATTGCACATGGCATTTATTGAATTTCTGCTGGCTCATTTTAGAAACGACTTGTGCCTGTACTCTGTGTAAAGAATGTACGGCTAGTGCCTCAATGTGCTTTTTATATGATGAAAAAAAAATCATGAATAATTTGTTCACCCAGCTACTGTTACAATGGCGGACATTGAAGAGTGCAAGCAAATGCGGTTTTGAAACTGTGAGCGTCATTTTACAACCATCTGTCTCCCTTTGGTTTGTGCGGTAGGGGTCGCCACAGTGGATCATCCTTTTCCATCTAAGCCAGTAGTTCTCAATTTTTTGACACCAAGTTCTACCAAGCAAAAACAATTGGCTCCCCAAGTCTGCCTTGAATGACTTTTGTTATTGTGCCATAGTGTACTCGACCTCTGCGTTCATCATAAACAAGATATAGATTTTATTGCCCGTGGTGTCCACTGGGATTTTCACCCGTAAGGCTGAATTATTTTAACTATTGAATAAGATTTATTTTTTTAACACTGTGGGACTTTGCATTTATGGTTATTTAGAATGTCTACTAATTTTTCGTTTTCCTCATTTACAGATGTTGATGGAGGATCAGCTCATTTGATGGATTAGCACTGCTGAACGGATGTGTGTTTTCAGAACGTGAAGCTATTACGTCGGCAGAACCCCTAAATGTCTAATTCAACGATTAACCTGTCTTACAATGGATATGTTGTACCACACAAAGACGTACATCTATGTCTTCCTGCTGAAAGTCCTTACAACGATGTGTCCATCTGTCCGTCACCGGACCCTTCCTGGAATATCTCTAATCACAGTGATGGAGAAGCCAGCAGCTCACCTAATATCCACATGCTAGATCACTTCCAAAGCGAAGGATTGTTCGTAAATAACTGTCAAAGCACTTCCTCGCGAGAAGATAAGTTGTTCTGCAACACAAGCATGAGCCTGAGCCAAACCTGCTTCCCCACCCCTCTCAATGGCCTTGTTGATTTCTGCAATAAAAGCTTGAGCGCACAAGGCTATCCAGACCCAAAGGAGTCCAAAAATTTTAATGGGACCAAGAAGAATGGAAGTGACACCGTTGTGACATCTCCTCCCGATTCTACTGCAGAAGGCAAACTAAATTCATGTGAAGCCTCTCAAAGAGGATCGACTGAGAACGATAGCTGCTCCATGAGCTCTGGTGAAATGGTGTTAAGAAGCAACAGTTTTTGTTTGGGGGACCAGACCCCCTCAGTATTTTCTTCCCTTGATGAGTCATCCACCTCACCATCTGTCGGGCATGCGGCATTGCACAATGACTCTCACATGCTGACCACGCCCACCATGTCAGATGTTTGTGAAAAAATGACTGAGAATTCAGGGCATCCATACCTTGGCAAGACCTTCACACTCCCTGAAAACTGCGAGCTTACCAGCGAGGAAGATGATTTGAGTTGGCCCACATCTATGGTTACGCCAAATGCAAATCATGGGGGTCTTCAGATGACCTTTGTGTGTGATTCTTCTCCAGATCATAAAAACTGGTTAGCTTGTGTTGAATCAGAGCCATTGGCATATTCCTCCGGGGCCTTTACACCAGAGAAATGTATTATTTTTGTACCTTCTCTGTCAACTATACAGGACACAGATAAGGCTAAACAGACTTCTACACCACTATCAAACATGGGGAACCAAATGCTTGCCTCCTTTTTAGAATCTCCTTGCACCGAAATTGCAGGCAGTCCAATATTATACCCAACTGAACAGCAGCAAGCATTTGCCACGCCTACAAAACACGGTGCCGTGGGACAATCTCTCTCTACCAGAAAAATAAAGACAATGAAGATCAATTGTCCGAAATCAGACTTGAGTAATGTCAACGCTAAAGTTGGAACAAGAACTGTGACTGGAACAATGGTGTCCGGGTCATCTCCGCAGCATAAAAAAACGCAATCAAGCGTGCTTAGTAAATGCGGAGAACGTCCCGAAGTAGCTAGCAGGATTAGTCCAACTAAAGGAAGGCATAACAATGCATTTGTTCCCGTTGTGACGAAAAGAGCCAACGGTGCTCAGAGACGAGTAAATCCAAGGGCTGCTCACTTGGGTTTCCCAATCACACAGTCACCTGAGAATGATGTGGGCAATGGAAAGTGCAATCGTAGCATGTCCACTGCGGCAATTAACTCTCCTGTAGCCCAATGCAGCAAGGCCTGGATGGAGACGGAACAAAGCGCTCTAAGTGACAACTCTCCAGCTCAGTCTACTGCCAACCAAACCTTCTGCTTATTATCCCTTGAAAAATCCCCTGATAAAAGTTTGGAGAAAGATCAGAAACCAACGCCGAAGAACGCAGCAAACAAAACGGAGGTCAAGTCAGGCTCAGCTTTGCTTCAGGTCAAGACAAGGCCTCGATGTTCAACGGAGACTTCCTCACCTCAGCCCCCCAAGCAAAGGAAAACCATTTCAAAGTCCTTGTCTGCTGTTACAATTCCAAGACAAGAGAAGCAAAGTAAACCAGCAATCCTCAACACCTCTTCCCAGAGTAAACTGGCCTTACATACTGAGGCCTTCAAAAGACCGGCTGCAAACCAGAGTCCAAGAGAAATTAATAAGATCAGCCTAGTCGTAAGTAGATGTTATACAAATAATATGAAAATCAATATTTCATCTCTTTCAAAGTGCCATTTGCCTGAATGTAGCTTGTAAGAATTGCAAATGGCCTAGATGTGACTGTTCCAAATGAAACTATCAAATATCGTGTGCATGTTTCTTTGATGTATTGGTCTCAACAGAAAAAGTAAAGAGCTGGGAATATTACACCAATCTCTTTGCAGACAGAATCCGGCAGGGAGGGAGCAGCCTCTTCGGAGAACAGCAGAACCCAAAGACAAACGTTTCCAAACCAACCACAAGGGACATACCTCGCGCAACATCCCATCGCCACTCACAGGCCTGCTCAGTCTATCAGGCAGCGAGGAGGAGATAATTGGGGTGGAGGCACCCCGCAGTCAAAGCAGAATACGAGTACAGGTAAGAGAATGATTACAATGCAAGTACATTTTAAAGGTGTCGTGGAAATGATAAACTATTGACTGGGTCGCAACAATATTTTGGAGAGTTTAGCAGCTTTTCCATAAGAGGATGATAGTTACTGGTTTGTAAATCAGGGAAACAGACCTTCAAATGGAGTCTAACTTCTGATTTCTTCATGCAATCTTAACGTTATTTGTAGAGCACTTTTCATGCACTACATGACAGTGCTTTACGCTGTTAAAATCTATGGGGTGAGATTTTCATGTTTTGTCTTTTTTTAATATATGCATTTATCATGACTTTTTTACAAATATTAACCTGCTTGTGAAGTGTTGAAAATGTGTTTGTGGATCAGCAAGCCCGCGTGTTGAATTTTGACACACATTAAGCAGTTTCAATGCATACCGTATTTTCCGCACTATAAGGCGCTTCGGAGTATAAGGCGCACCTTCAATGAATGGCTTATTTTAAATCTGTTTTCATATATAGGGTGCACCGCATTATAAGGCGCATAGAATAGACGCTACAGTACAGGCTGTGATTGTGTTTGCATCCACTAGATGGAGCCATGCTAAAGGGGATACAATACAATACAGCTTTGTTTATATAGAGCTTTCACAACCGCTGCAACAAAGCGCTTTACAAATCATTTAAAATACTACATCCAAGAAATCAGAATATTGATCCATATAGAAGGCGCATCGGATTATAAGGCGCACTGTCGGCTTTTGAGAAAATGGAATGCTTTTAAGTGCGCCTTATAGTGCAGCAAATACGGTATACACACACACACACACACACACACACACTCACACTCCTGCCGTTCTAAACATTCACATGGTAAAAAGCCATCCCCCCTTCCTCTAGGATGCTGTGTTGCTGTCGCCATTGAAAGCAACCAGCTATCTTCAGGATTTCGTTTGAAAATTGGCAACAGAGCCTTGATCTAATCTACTATTATGCGTTTATTTCGCACAAGTTGGGAAAGAAAATACACTAATTTATTTGCCTACACCCGGAAGATATTTTGCTTCTCTTTGTCCGACGTAGAAGAAGAAAGAGGGTAGCAGCAGAAGTACGCTTTCGAACGAATTTGCAAAGTACGTTCAAACGCATTGATAAAATGTAGGCTAAACGCTAAAATGCTAAAACATAGATTTTGCTGAACTGAATTCATGCACTGCAGACATAATAAAATCAAAAATTGCTAAAATAATGTTGACTTCCTTCATTTTTGAGCAAAATGGTATAATGCAGGCCAAATGCTGAAAAACATACGTTTTTCACTTGTGCATGTGCATGTATGGTCGTTTAAAATGCGAGAGCACCACTTTTTGTTATTAATTCATTCAAAAAGTTTTTACCGATGCATTTTGCTTTAGAATATGTAGTATTTCAGTCCTGAGGAATGTACCACCAGTATTCTGTGTCCATCCTAACGATAGCTTCCCCATTCCATGTGATAGCGGGGAGCGGAAGGAATGGTGCAACAAGAGACTCATCCTTTGAACCAGCCTCGGCTGCAAGTGTCAAGCCCCAACTGAATGTATCCCGACCTTTCGCAACTCCCACGCGTCCCTCTTCTGTGGACACTCCCTCCATTCCTGCCTCTCGACTGCCGCGCAAGACCCCGGTGTCATCCAAGAGCCTAAACAGAGGAAGCATTCACAATGATCAGAATGAAGGTGCAGCAAGTTTACAAGGTGAGCCTAGCAAGGTTTTCACATTGGGGATGTAAGAGTCTGGGTGTGATGACTGTAATTTGAAATGAGGCTTTTGCTCATTGTATTCAAGGATAAGATCAAATTTGTAATTTGGACACGATATGAAGGAGAGGGGCCTTAATAGTGACCCACTTAAAAGCAAAGCCTTGGCGAAAATCCCCCGCTGGAAAATCTTGCTTGGATTTAATAGCTCCGCATTTGCTAAGATGTTGAGGCTTAGCCACGTGAAAAAAAAAAAAAACAACAAAACAAAAAAAAAATCCATACTGTATGGTTTTTTTTTAAATGCCCTTTGAATGATCTAAGTCAAAGGACCCCAACCAACCACTTACAGGGCCGCACAGAGAGACTATTGCTGTCAATGTGGTACACTAACATACCTCAATATTCAATGCCAGTTGGTAAAGTTGTTGTTGTATTGCAAGGGCTTCTGGTGATGCTGTCACGTGCCGTTTTGCACTTTTGAACTGCTTACCTATGCTTGCTTGACAGTTTCTGGAGTGGCTGCACGTAAACAACCCCCTGTTAAAACGGGTGCACTGAAAGCAAGACTCATATCAAGCCCTGGGAGGTGGACTGGACCAGGTAAGATCACACCCACTTACCCATTTTTGCATTTCGTGAGACGTATGATTATGATCGTATTATTTTAAGCCATTTAAACAATTATCCCAAATAGAGTACGTACAGTATATTGTCAAGACTTTCTGATGAGAAATGGAACGTTTTACTTTTGCCTCAAAGATCACTCATAGAGTGTGTATTTGTCCATGACAGTTGTACCGACTACAAATTCACCTACCTGTACCAACAAAGGCGCTTCTACTTCTACTCGGGGTCCTCTAAAAAGAAGTCTGTCTTCTAGATTTGTTGGTTTGACACCAAATAAACCAGGTAAGAGGTTTTTTTTTTGTTTTTTTTCTTTTCTTTAACAGAGGTCACTGCAGTGAGTAATACCTAATCTGGGTATGAATCTGACTACTTTTCCACCATACCTTCTGATATCTCCCCCACACCCCAAGTGTCACTTTATGCATTTTGGGTGTCGTGCAACAATAAACTTCAGCCCATTGTTTGGAGTTGAGAATGTTGCATAGTCATTGCTGAGGCCAGCTATGTCATCATTTTAGCAAGGCTGCTTTCAGTCAGCTAACATTGACAACTTTGCCGAAAGCTGGCCTGTGATCTCTGCTCATCTCACTTTGCAGCAGAAGTGAAGCTGTGGGAAAGGGAGTAACACTGTGAGAGTATGAAGAGTGTGATTGCAATTCCTATTGGCACAGTATTCCTGCTTGCTCCTCCCATCACCACTGTCTACCCCCCACCCCTAACCCCCTTCAACGGGCGCGCGCACATAGACACACGCACACCTTCCTGTTTTGTCTCATTGGCATAGTTTTTTTTTTTCTTTTTTTTTTTAATGCGGGTGGGGGACAGCTCTTCCCCTTTTTCTTTTTTTTTTAATGCGGGTGGGGGACAGCTCTTCCCCTGCAGAATTTTCGTGGGTTACTCGCAAGGATTATAACCAAGATATCATTGTTTTCCAAATACTTGTATATGTACACGGAAGTTTTTTACCTTGATTACCGAGAGATGTTATGGGCTCCAAAGCTGTCACCCTCAAACATCAACGTGCGTCTGACAGCCAAAGGTTTACTACGAAACATTCAGCTGCTGTCAGGATGCTGGAAAAACACGGTGGTTTTCCAAGCAGGTTAGTCAACCTCATTTTGTTATATTCAAATTGGCTTGGTTGTATGGCCTCTGGTTAGTTACATTTGCAAACATCTTGGTATTGACAGTACTTGAGCTGTTCTGTAGACTGTGTGCCTCTATGTTTAGCATGGCTGTTTGCTTGTCTCTTAAGCAGGAGGTTCAGCTTTCTTTTAACTACAGCAGTCAGTGTAATTTCATCCAGGGCAATGTACTGCTGGACACCAACGAGATTAGAATGTTACATGACTTTTGATAGATACGGTCGATATTGCATCCATGCATTGTTTTTTGTAATTTGTGCAAAAGTCAAAAAGGAAAGCGCAAGAAAGGGGGACAGCAAAAGGACCTTTCGTATTGGCCACATGCATTGATCTGGTTTCAGCCTGAAATGAACCAAGGTTATTTAGGGCTCTATTTTGAGCCCCAGTGACTGGAGATCATTATTGTGGGAGAATTTGTTTGGTTTCCCATAAATGTTGAATGCTTTAATTGCCATTTTGATCTTTGATAATGTAAGGGATTTTACACTCCAACGTATTGCAATTCTTTTAATGGTATTCACTTCTTGAAACAAATGCAAGTACTACTCTAATTTGGCTTGTGGCACTGGAGTGAACTCATATAGTGTCCCATGAAATGTCAATGAGTATGACTGAACAGAATTTTCTATTATTGTGCGAACAAGGAACTCAAAGGAACTGATTGTGATGTGATGAATTGCATAATTCATCATCAGTTCTATGCTGTGAGGTCTCCTTACATGCCAACAAAACCCCTCAGTAACTGTTTAAAAGTCTACCTGGATTATTTTGATTTGTTTTTTTTTTTTTTTCCTTTGACATCTATGGTCAGAGCAAGAGGAATGGTCTGTAATATTTTGCCGATTTGCATTTTTCTTGAGAGTCCCTAAAATGACTGCACACAGGTGATGTGAAAAAGTTAACCAAAGTGAAAAAATATGTTTGTCAAGACTATGCCATAATAGTAATAAATAATGGGAAAGAGGTTTGATGGAAAGTGCTTAGCTCAAGGAAGCAGCTTTATAAAAACATTTAAGTATTATTTGAATAATTCTGTACAGTCTAAAAGGTTACCGTTCTTAGTCACTGCCTTGGTCTAATCAGAGGCTTCCTGTCCAGTTATATATTTTATTTTATTTTTTTTTATGGCCATCTATTAAGGAACCATTTTTTCGGTATAGATCTGTGCAAATTAGATTTTGCTTGATTCCGAAAATTTAATACAGGTTCCCATTTCCTCATCCTACTCCACTGCAAAACCTCAGGGTATACAAACATGGATTCATGTTCATTGCTGATGTTTGAAAGTGACGGTTCTTGTGCAGACAGCAGAGGGCAACCTCATTCAAATGAGACAGCACGGAACTTTTGCTGAGAAGCAGCAAGAATAACAGTTAGATCCTGTTTATCAAAAGTGTATAAATTTTAAATTTGAATAGAATTTAAAAAAAATCCATATGGTGTTATTACAAATTTTGCAAGCTGCCTTACTAGACTGCTTAACAAATAATAAGCAATCATGTGTTTTTGTTCATGGTTTAGGTATTTTGTCTTGTTTGTTAGATGCTTAGTGTGTGTGTGTGTGTGTGTGTGTGTGTGTGTGTGTGTGTGTGTGTGTGTGTGTGTGTGTGTGTGTGTGTGTGTGTGTGTGTGTAGTGTGTGTGTGTGTGTGTGTGTGTGTGTGTGTGTGTGTGTGTGTGTGTGCTGATGTAAGTCGAGACTGCATGAGCAGAACATGCTGCCCTTGGTGGCCAGGTTCACAGAGCTCTCAATCGAATTAGGAAATGGAAAACCAATTTTATTTACAGCATCCGTTTTTATGCCGGGCTATCTGTGAAGCAGCACTGAGAATTGTCAGTGCACTTGATTGGACAACACATCTGCGAACAGGAGAACCATACTTTAACGGTGGAGGTTGCTGAATCTTTTTGAGGGTGGTTTTACTGGCCTGTATATAGTAGTGCACTTATGGAAAGAGGATTGATGATGATCATGAACGTTGTCACGACCCTCGATGCGTATTCTTTTACAGTAGACAAGAACAAGCCCAAGACCTGCTCTCGGCAGCAAGCGTCAACATCCCAAGTAAAACCGAATCATGGACCTCCTAAAACGATGCCACCCAGTCATCCACGGGATGACGGAAGTGATCAGAGGATCCAGAATCTTGGGAAACTGCTTGCAGCCTCTAACAGCAGATTTGAAGCCGTTAGTATCGTCTTGCAGCAAGCGCTGGCTGAGGTAGGGTAATTCGTTTTTTTGTTGTTGTTGTTGTTTTTTTATTAAGTTCCCCAGAATTAAACAAATATGTGAAATTGTTTTGACAATAACAGTCAATTCCACTGATAAAATTGAATTCAAAATGTTTTTGTTTAATTACTGTTGCATGTTGAAGTGAAAGCTTTGTCCTTAGTATGATAATGCAACTCAACATATGTCATTAACAAAACCTGGTAATACGACCCAAATGCGCTTTATCTTTACAATGCAGATATTATCACCTTTTTCTTTTTTTAAACATGGATATTTAAACACCTTGTTTGAATATGGTGTGTCGCGCAGTGTCATGTGACTGGCTTCCAGGAACCAGGCACCTCCGGGAATTATACTTGCCATGATGTATAATGAATGGGCGTGTTATATCAGAATACAGCTTAACTCCAGTCACCTTGCTTCCTCATTTTATTGTTAAAACAAAATTATGCCTTGGGAAAGAAGAGAGTCATTATCTCTAGTTACATATTGGTTTTTACTTTTAGTTCTTGAATATGCATTAGAAAATGGATGGATTGATGGATGGATAAGCACACGACACCATTAGGCCTTTGTTGCACCACTAGAGTGTGGTGGTATGGCACCAATTTGAAGCAAGGGGAGGACACAGACTGTTTTCCAAAGTGAAACTGTCACTGAACAAATTTTATGTAGCGTTTATTCCCCCTAACTAGATGTCAAATCATTTTTTTTCTGCTTTGCCGTGTGACTCTGTTCTGCATAGGTGCACTTGCATAATTTAGGCCTCAAAACAAGTGAGCTTCAAATTGGTTTTACAACAAAGAGAACTCTGGTAACATTAAAGCACATGTGACCATATTGTTGTCGAAGCTCCCTGTGTTGGAACTGTCCATGTTTACAATACAATGTCCCGCTGATACGTTTGACCCAATCACTGATCCCTGCATCGTTGCCCTCTTACACTTGGCAGGGTTGAGAAATTGATTGCATCAATAAATGCAAGACAGTAGTGTCGTTCCCCTCAACCTTGCTCACTTCCTTTCATAGCACACAATGCACATAGTATACAGCAACTCCATGAGCAAAATATAAGTTGCCGTACTTAATAAAAATTCCATATAGAGTATTGCGACAGGAAGGATGCTTATAATTGGGACGGTTATTGTGTGCCAGTAGTGCACAGTGGAAACTAATTGTCATTCAAAGGCCCAAGAATAGATGGCTCTCCCATCACAGCGTGAGAATGCCCCAGCTGTTGGCTTGATATGGTCAAATGAGCTAGTGGCCATACCACTTAGCCAGCACCACACATTGTTTCTTATCTTCTGTTTGCATGGTGTGATTATGTAGCGGACAACTGGGTGTGAAAACAGCAGGCACACGTAAATAACTTTAAAGTACTTGTCGACTTTGGCGTTCAAAATATTTCCCAGAGATTGTAACTTGATAGGATTTATTTATTAAATGGCAACCTAGCAATATTCTGTGCCTGATGTGCATCATCTTTATGTACAGCGGAGACAATATTAAAAATTCAAAAAAAGAGGTCTCATAATGATCTGTCAAGAACTTGTACATGTATTTATAAAGTAATAAATGCTGTTGCTGAGTTTAGTGTTTCATGAAAAATACGGGGGGTGTAAGATGCTTTTCCACACCAAAAAATGTCAGTCTCCCCTGCAATCAACTTTTGTCAGTCCTTTTCCTTGAACAAAAAGTGAGAGCAATTTTTGTCATCCAGTGGGGTGTTTGCGAACTGGCCTCTAATTCCTTGGCATGGCTCACTTTGCTCCTCAAGCTGCATATCATCAGTGCCTGAGATTAGTTGCTATCGAGTGAAACTGGACATCTGATCTGTCGCTGTAGGAAAAGGGTGTGTAAACAGTGGAATTGTGAGCATGAGGTCCACCGAGGGAGTGTTGCCAAGGTTTTGGGGATGATTTATTGCTGCTTTGGATGAGAATGGGGGGATGGTAGTAATTGAAAGGCTCTCTCCATATCCCCCTGGGAAGGTCACTTCCCATCTTAAGGTCTGCCCCGTCATCTCTACAAATGATCTGGTTGCTCCGTTCTGACTGCTTGCATGTGCTGTCTTAAAGTGACCTCACCTCAGTGGGGAGGAGCCTGTTCTTCCTTTGGAAGCCTGCCCCTTTGTGTGTGTGTGTGTGTGTGTGTGTGTGTAATACAGCAGTGCACTTAGCAGTCAGTTAGCTCAGCTGCAGAAGCAGCTTGTCATCCAGGACGATACGAGTGGAGGTGGCGCGCCCACCTGGACCGCTGTTTGCCCTGGCTGACTTGGTGGGCCCAAACCCCAGTGGGGGACACGGGGACCCACAGATCAAAGGCTGATGCCATGGGCTGCACAGGCAGCAGAGCATGCCTCATTGCTCCCTGTGCTGCAAAGCAGGTAAACTTACATTGACTCCTCATTTGTAGGTGCTGTTGTACATAGCAGATGGAAGGTTTTTCGGCATGTCTTTTATTGCAGGGGTCCCCAACCGCCGGTCCGCGGACCGGTACAGGTCCGCCGGGCATTTGGTACCGGGCCGCACAGAAAGAACTTGCCTTAATTCCGTTTTACTTATTTCGGAATACGAAACATGTTTTATTTTGAAAAGCTACCGGATTCTTCATTACATCCGTCTGTGTCACGCTTGACACACGTCAAGCCACGCTTCTCATTCACGTGACTGATTACGCTAAAAACAAAACGCCAGAGTTCTCAAAATGAGTAAAAAAAACTGCTGGAGATCGTAAATGACGGCGGCCTTAAAAGTACGTTCGAGACAACTGGATTAAAGTTATAGCTGAATACTCTGAGATCGCCACAATAGCACTGTTGCTATTTCCGACATCCTACCTGTGTGAGGCGGGGGGTTTCTGCAGCAACGGCGACGAAAGCAAAATTACGAAGTAGACTGGACATAAACCACACACTTGAGGTGTCATTGTCTCCTATTACCCCGAGATGGGACCGTCTGGTTGCAGAAAATCAAGCTCGGTGCTGTGGTGAGTCGTCATTTTCATGCACTTTGAATTTGCGTTGTATCGTATTTTGAAGGCATTAAACATTACCATAGCGATCGGAGTGTTGCGGCCAGATTAGACGCTCCTTGTGTTTATTATTATATTTCAAAAACGCCACAGTTTTCATGCAGCTCATACCATATTATTTTGTTGTATTATTTCCGCCACACCTTAAATGCCGGTCCCTGAAAATATTGTCTGACATCAACCGGTCCGTGGGGCAAAAAAGGTTGGGGGCCCCTGTTTTATTGGAAAGTGATGTTTGGCTGACCTTTTCTCTTGTTTTTTTATTTAATTGAACATCTACATTGATGATGTTTGCGTCCGTGGTGTCACGTGTTGTGTAGCGTTTCATAATGAGGGATCGGTAGAAGAGCAGCTGTAGATGAAATATGAACAGTGAATGTGTCAGCTGGAAACCTTGAAGAGCATTGCAGCAAGTGCTGCTTCCCCAGCAGGGCAGAGATAGAGGAACTGTGCCAGCAAAAATGAGAAGCTAACACTGAACACAAGTTGACGATCAAGTTTGACTTTCTTTTCTCCTCCCCTTATTCCTGATGTTTACTTTTGGGAGCAACTGCAGTTATATTGCAGTCGTGTATTTGGTAATGCCTTAGTTTGATAAATGGCATTCATCAAACATTTGAATGAGATCCTTGTCTTTTCATTTTATTTTTGTATTCCAGTGGTCACCGACCTTTTAGAACCTGAGAGCTACTTCTTGGCTACTGATGAGTGCAAAGGACTACCACTTTGAAAGATTTTTCTGAAATAACATATTTGGTCAAACTACGTTTAATGACATGTGTTTATTGTTGTTATTAGGACAGGGGGAAAAAATGGGCTCAGTTGAGCACGAAAATTGGTCAACAGAAATTTCTTCCTCAAAATGGGACGTGGAGCGATTATCTGGATAATCACTTCTAGAAAGATTTGTTTGTGATCGCTATAGTTCATAATAATAATTTTGACATTCATTTATTTGAAGGCACTGATCGTGTTTGCCTTTTCAAATGATCACTGTTACACCATTCTTAGAAAATCGCAATGCCCAATCACTGGCGAGCTGTTTTTTGGAGCAGGCCTGCGGCCTAATTGTGTGTTCCTCGGGGGCCCCCGGGTGCCTGCCGACACCACATTGGTGACCCCTGGTGTATTCTCATCAAAAATACAAATGTTGCTTTATTGTGTTATGAACTTAGAAATTTAAACCCTGTTAAATGTTTGTCAGATTTTATTCAAAATCGCTTTGACTTGACGTGCCGCTTGTGTTTTAATTTCTGTGCAGCGTGATGAAGCCACAGGGCAGTGCAGAGAACTATCTCAGCAGTTGGTCAACCTCCGAGGAGAGCTTGGTAAGGTGGCCCTGGCCACGCACTTGGCAATTGTACACACATATGGCACTTGTCTCATACTTTAAATTTCATGTTTCATAACTCAACCCATCAATCGACAAGTGTTTCTAAGTAGGTGTGCGCATCGCTCCAATAAAAGACGATTTGATATGTATCGACATATTTGGTATGATACAATTGAGTAATAATATATTTTCAAGTGTAGCGATTGAATTCAGTGGGGTTCCGATTCATTATGGTACGGCTGTAGCTTTTTTTTGTCATGTTTATCAATATGTGACGACAGGTAACAGCTCTCCAAAGCCCAAGCTACTCAAGTTCTTTCAATTCAAAGAAACAATGCATAATCAGCAACATCCAACTGATTGATGTTGATTCATACCAGGGGTGCATCTCTCATAAATGACGATTCGATCCATATCTCCATACATGGAGTGTGATACGGTTCCCTTGAATCAAATCGCCTCTCCAATTCAAATCAGGTTTCATTACAACCCTAGTAGTAAGGCCACAATGTCATCTTGAAAAAGGTCAGCCACGTTATCTTTTTATTAATTTATTCTGCTAGTTTGTTTGCTTTGAGCAGCATGTTTGAATCTGGTTTTTCAGCTTTGAGCAGAACATGCGCCTTCTGTGTAAGCAAAACATTAAGGAGATACCCCCCCCCCAAAAAAAAAAAGAATTACCACACCTATCACAGAACAACCACAAAAATGAGCCTGTTCTTCATTTAGCCACTGTCATATACTGTTTTGGGGGCCAGACCATCCATCTGCCTACCCATCCATCTACCACGAGTGCCAGTCTATCCTCAGTTTACTATTCAGGAATTTACCAATGTATTTTTTTTTTTTTTTTTGTTCTTGTGGAAGGCGGCCCGGTAGTCGAGTGGTTATCACGTCGACTTCACAGTGCAGAGGTACCGGGTTCAATTCCTGTGTGGAGTTTGCATGTTCTCCCCGTGCTTGCGTGGGTGTTCTCCGGGTCCTCCGGTTTCCTCCCAGATTCCAAAAACATGCATGGCAGGCTGATTGAACACTCCAAATTGTCCCTAGGTGTAAGTGTGAGCGCGAATGGTTGTTTGCTACTGTGTGCAACAGTAGTATGGCTCAATTTAATTGGTAAGGGATCCAACAGTGGTTTGGTAATGACAGTATTTTGCCATTCAAAAGGCATTCATGTTTTGAAGGTGAACAGCTCAAATTCTGTCAATTCTAGTTGACGTGCTTTACCTTGAAAAAGGGTAATGTTTTCCAAGCAGTTTTCCGTCCACTTCCTTGAGCCTTCTGATTAAACCAACCTTTCCAAATTTATTGGCGTTAATCGTATTTTCTGCTCATGCTATGCAGACAATCACACACACACACACACACACACACACACACACACACACACACACACCTCGTTACAAGTGCCTCGGGACTCACACATGACTGCTATTAAGTTCTGAGCACTGTTCTAACACATTCTTTTGTCGAATGTCATCTACCCTGACTTCAAGTTGACCTTGCTACATGTACTGTAGCAACAACTGTTTGAAAGTGTTGGTGTTCACTTGCAGGCTTCAAATTCCTCCCAAAGGAATCCATTGATGTCTCCAGCCAGTACCGTGATACTGTCAGTGCCACACATCCCTAATTATGCCACACATTGCATCCACCTTATCTGTAACTGTTGCTCTGAAAAGTCCATCCCATGTCACGCTGTGGGCCAGAGCCTCTAACTTTAGTTCTGGGATAAAATAGACCTGCAGTCATCATATGAGTCAAATGGCGTTTGCTGCAAGGGGCGGAATTGGATTTAAGGCTCATATGACCAGATCACAGTTGCACATGCTTGCGGAATGCAGCTTCTTGGCCTCTGAATGCCAGAGCCTGATAGCTGGTCCCAGTGTTGGCTTTGCCTCCGCTCCTGGATCTGCTACAGTTATTCCACTCTTCCAAAGGTGGTGCTTCACACTCCCGCTGTCCTTTTTTTTTTTTCCTCTGCAGCACACCATTTTCACGTACAGTTGAAACTGTCAGACTCTCAGAAATCAATGTGAATGGCATATGGATGGATGGATCTATCATCTGTCACCTTCGATGAAAGCTGCATTATTGATTTCTAGTAGTCGCTCACGATCAACTGCCATTGAGCGGCTTGTTGAGACAGCCTGAGCTGAAATCTTTGACCCATGGTCCAGTTTTCCAAATGAAAAAATATGTGACTTGTGGCCATCAATAACTTTGCCACAGTTGGCAGATAAAGTCAAGTATGTGTTTCCATGGCATGAAAGTAAAAGTGCCACATTTGTATCTAAGGGCCCGATTCAGATTTTATTTACAACCGCATAATTATTACAACTTTTCTCATGAAGGCTGGCACACATTTACAAAATCTCACGGGCATCGTTGATATCAAAAGGATGTATCCTAAAATGTGTTACAATTTGCAGAGTGCTCAGTCCATTCATCTGAACGACTGGAAAAGGAAAAGCAAAACTTGCAGGATGCTCTGGAGGGTGCAATGCGGGGACTGCAGGAGCAGCACCAGAAGGACCTGGAAGAGATGGAGCAGAGACTGCAGGCCTTCTACCAGGCTGAGTGGGATAAGGTCCACCTCACCTACCAAGGGGAGGCAGACAAGTGCAAAGCTCTGCTACAAAAGCAGGTTTGCCCCCTTTCACACCCATTGAGTCTTGAGCCATCAGTGAGCACTCATTTACAGTCATTTGCAAACCATTGTTGAGTGCAAATCAACTTTTTAGTAATACTGCGGGATGTCATTGAAATGTTTTGCATGTGTCTCGAAAAGATGGAACAACTCGAAGTAAGTCATGACGCCATGAAGCTGGAATTGGAGCACAGCCACGAAGAGCAGTTGCAGTGTGTTAAACAACAACATGAATGCTCATTGGAAGGTGAGTGAGTGGAAACATCCTTTGAAAAGCTGCATTTCATTTCATTTAGAATTTGACACCAAATATTCAACTTGAGCTAATTGGTTTACCTGAATTTTTACCCTATTTTTTTTTTTTGTTTGTTCTTCAGAGCTCAACAAAACCCACATTCAGCAACTGCAGTCTTTGGACGCAAGTTTGAAGGATTCAGAAGCAGCACTTTCTGTAAGTTGGACGTTTTGTCTCCCGACACAAATAACCTGTCACCATGTCATGTCTTCCAGAAAGTGCCATTTTTTTTTCTTCTGTAGGCACAGATTGAAGCGCTGACTCAGGAAAATGCTGACCTGATCGGAAAGCTAACAGCAGAGGAGAACAAAAGGAGAGAGCTGGCAGAAAGTCAGGTACTGGTCTCCATAACTTGGTGGGAAAATGGTAAATCAAACCAGGAACATTTTTTCTTTTTCCTTGCCTGAAATAATAATGGCATAATCTTCATTGGGACCAAATTAGCAGTGTATTAAAAACACTGCCCTTTTCAATTTTTTTTAATGTTCTCTAAATATGCGATTAAAACAAGTCTGCCTCTCATGAGTATTGATTCAGAACCCACTCAGCATTCTATCATGTAATTGTGGGAACTTCATTAAACCTCTCCCAACAGAGAGTTGCTCTCTGTAGTTAAATTATGCAATCAGCATTGGCAAAAACTCAGAAATACCTGGACCATGTGTAGTCACTTGCACCGCCTCAGAAAAATGCTGGAAACGAACAGTGGAAGCATTGATACACCCACAGAAACCAAAGATGGCTAAAAAACAAAACAAAAAAAAGCCCACCACATTGAAGCTTGTGTTCTGGGTATTTTACGATAGTTCATCTCTGTGTGTGTGATAGAGTTGGGGTGAGTACGCTCAAGTTGTTTTCTTGTTAGCAATGTGGTTGCATCATTGTCACTTGAGTGTTGCTGCTGATTTACTGGAGTCCAACATTTTTTATTTATTTATTTATTTTTTTCTAAACACCCACCCTGTAGAATGACCCGCACACTGTGTATCTGAAGCAAGAGCTGGAAAGCCTGAAGGTGGTGCTGGATATCAAAACCAAACAACTTCACCAACAGGAGAAGAAGATGATTGAAATTGATGAACTGGTAAGATCTGGAACAAAGACAAGGGACTGCATACTAAACAACAATTAAAATTGCGACCTTTTCGAGTGTTGCATTGTTCACCTGTTTTTTTTCCGCCAGCTTGAGAAAAATGTGAAGTTAGACGAGAGACTTAACAAGGTCCAACAGGAGAATGAGGACCTCAAAGCTCGCATTGAGAAATACGCTGCTCTCTCAAGGTAAGCCACCCACAGTCATCTTCCTGGAAGTTTTTCATCAGCAGTCGGCACGTCAGTCTGTCAGTCATTCCGTCGTGATTTCAGGCCGGCCCAGTCTGTACGTCGCTAAGGACAGCCATTTAGCATTGAGAGTGTACTTGGTATGTCAGACGTAGACGCAGCAACAAGCAGACTCTCAAGTAGTAAAAAATAAATCAAATGTTGTATACCTTTCGATCCCTTAGACCAGGGGTGTCAAACAAATTTTTTGTCACGGGCCACTTCGGAGTTATGGCTTCCCTCGGAGGGCCGGTGCAAAATCTCAGTTATTTATTACCCATGACAATTTGACATTTCGGTACAGATTTCAGCAAGAATCATGACAGTTGACACACATGATTTGCTCCGGCGGGCCACATAAAATCACATGGGGGGGCCAGATCTGGCCCCCGGGGCCTTGACTTTGACACCGTGCCTTAGACTGTAGTGTTCATTCTTCATTTTACCAATCGCCACACTTCTTTTTTTTTTTTTTTTTTTTTTTTTTTTTAACTTTGCTCTGTGTTCTGCTTGTGCTGCGCCTGCATGTGACATAGTACGGATGGTCCATAGCATGCACTGTTGTCGTCTGTCACCATTCATTTCCTGTTTTGATTTGTAGAAGTATGTGGTTGGTGGTCTGGCAGGTTGTCTGAGGTAATGTGTTTAACTCGCAGGCAACTGTCTACAGAGCAGGCTGTGCTGCAAGAATCCCTCCAGAAGGAGTCAAATGTGAACAAGCGTTTGTCGATGGAGAATGAAGAGCTGCTCTGGAAACTCCACAACGGGGAACCGAGCAGCCCGCAGAAGGCCTCGCCCAGCTCTGCATCTCCATCCCACTCCTTCAGCTTGCAGTCACCCCGCAGCTCCGGAGCCTGCTCGATCTTCCCACCCTCGCCCAGATAACGACTGCCCCGCCTGCTTCCGGGAAGCAGACAGACTTGTTGAAGGCGTCCATCTTAAAGGTCACCTTGTTGACCTATTGGTGTAGCACCATTATCAGTCTGTGGGGGTGGATCATATTTTTCAGATGAACTCTGAAATGATCTAGAATGATGCACACAAGCACTTAATAAGCAAAGCTATGCTGTTCTTTGTCTGTCTATACAAGGATTTGTGTGAAGGGGGGTGTCAAAGAATCTCAGTACTTGTCTGTCATGAAATACGATTTTTCTTGAAGCCACTGGATGCTTATTTGTTTTGAGGCTCGGCACGTGCACTGCATGCACATGGATGCACATATTTAGCCCTGCCGTATTCAGGCTGTGGATTCCTGCACCTTAAGTCACGTTTGAGGGTGTGACCTGCAGCTGTCTCGGTACAATTAAACCGAACAGTTTCAGCAAGACACCAGCTTAAATACTACGGCAGGTCCAGTATTCCCCTCAAATGTGTCACTCTTCCTGTTTTTGTTGTTTGACCACGGGACCAATCCCAATTTTGAGTATGTTTTTGTGCATCACATCCAACTTCGTGTCCCTCAAGGAATCCTAACACGGCTCTAAAATTGGGGTCTGCTGGCAGCAGGAGGCTTTGCTTTAGCACGTCGTCTTATTCTATTTCTGGTGTGTTGGCGCTGTTTGAAATATGCAATATTTGGAATATTAATAAACTTGTATTTTAAACCTGCTATATGAACTATTTCTTTTTGATATACGCCTGAGAAAATGGTGGCTATATGATAAGCGTTTGCAGAAACTTAAACACACTCTCTAGAGTGAATGTGGAACTGTTCAATGTAGCAATGGTATGTGCACAACTTGCTATTCTCTAACAAGGGGAGCTCTTTGGCAAAATTCACCACAGGTGTTGTATCCATCAATCGCCAGGACCTTTTTATGGTTCAGTTCAAATTGGTGTTTCGCAGTTGAAGCAGACCCCTGTACGCAGTTTAATATCTTGAAACCAAGACATCTGACAATCAACAGTGCCTTGCCTTTGCGAGGCATCAAACTGGATGTTCTGAGATATATACGGTATATAGATATAAATAGATATATATCTATTTCTCTCTCTCTCTCTCTCTCTCTCTCTCTCTCTCTCTCTCTCTCTCTATATATATATATATATACATATATATACTCTATATTAGCAGGCATGGAAACTGCTACTGAAGATCAACAGATGGCAACAGATCCTTTTCGAGAGTGGAAGAGTAATAGCCATTGAGGTGGATGTCCTTCGGGGGGAAAAAAAACCAAAAAAAAAAAAACGTTCCTTTCAGTTTCTTGTTGTGCGAGCTTGTGGGCGTGTTCATCCAAAAGTTTAGAGACGTTCACCTGTTGTGCATTTTAAGTTCATTCTGAAATTTCACCCGGAGACCAGTAGCACCAACTTTCTGTGCTTGGTATTTATCAACAACAAAATTACTTTTTTTTTTAGGCCGCAAAAGTTAAGAAATACAAAGAAATAATATGCTGTTTATTGGTAGATGAAGAAGGTTACGCCTGTGAGTTCTATTTCTGTTGTTTTAGCAAAACGCTCATCTGTTTGACTTGGTCGCCAGTTCCGAGCTTTCTGCAGAAAGTTACCGTTTAGAAAGGCAGGGAGGAAGCAGCACTAAAACAAAACACGTTCTGGGCATGTGGAACACATTCCACATATGGAGCACATTAAAATATAAGCCTGGCAACGTTTTCAACTTCTGCTCGTGACAGGCCACAGAGCCACAGCAAAGCTCTTAATGCTGCCGTCGTCTTTTCCAGTGTCAAGCTTTTAGCATGAAAAAGCTGCAGCAAAGTGCATAGTAACGTTGGAGGAGATGGGAAGCTGCGTTGTCTTGTCGGTTTGACTCATAATGTACTCAGTCAGCTGTTGTGATTTTGTGATTCTTAAAAACACTGAAGGGTTTAGCTTTATTGGGTGTGCTATCCATATACCAACTTAAACTGAACAGCGGCTATTTGGACATGATGCTGGTCATCACAAGTGTCTCGCCGCGTTGGTTCTTGGCTTTGCAGATGTACTTTCCAAAATCGATGGTCTCCATGTCCTCCACGCTGAGGACGCTTTGTGTGATACGTGTCGTCTGACCCCGGCCTCGATTGACCAGCCTCCATGTAGTTTGGATGTGAACAGGACGCTGGCCCTGAAACACAACAACGAATCATTCCAACAATTAAAACAATCACAACTAGTATTTTGGGGAGGTTAAAACAGTAATTGTGTTTGGAACAACTTTAAAATATAAATGACTGACATTGGTGACAATGACATGAGTTAGCAAAACAAAGCAAGTGTTTGTCATGAGTGAACTGCAATCAAAATAAAATCAAAGTTCGCTTACCCAAAGCGACTCTGCAAAAATCTCAGCGTTATATTTATCTGAACTCTCTCCTTTCAAAATCATAAAGAAGATGACCAGAACTGTGTTTTTTTTTCTTTTCCACTTCTATGATATTGCTGGGATCCGCCCCAGTACTATCGGCTAGTGGTGGACGCTAGTCTTTTAGTCATTCCGAGAGCCAAAAGAACTCCAGTACTCTGTTGTGCCCAACCTGCAGAAATTAGAGCTGCTCCTCAGTGGAAAAGTTTGACTCTCGACATATAGGCCTGTTCCTAATAAAAGCACTCTGCGGCGGGAAAACCAACTGAAGAAGATAACAGGAGATCTTGTGAGCCGAGCGTCTTTTAGTCATTCCGAGAGCCAAAAGAACTCCAGTACTCTGTTGTGCCCAACCTGCAGAAATTAGAGCTGCTCCTCAGTGGAAAAGTTTGACTCTCGACATATAGGCCTGTTCCTAATAAAAGCACTCTGCGGCGGGAAAACCAACTGAAGAAGATAACAGGAGATCTTGTGAGCCGAGCGCACTGTGGCCTCGTGCCCTCCCTGTTCTTCCCTGCTGCAGCAGTCTAAACCTTATTTCCGTGTGCATTGCCTGTTCTTTGCCCGGGTCAGTCGGGTCTTTTAGACCTAACAACTACCACTTCCCCTCTCTCGCCCCTTCCTCTCTTGCTTGGAGAGGGGCTAGATAATGATGACTGAATCTGATGCGAGTGCCGTGTGGATTCTGCACGACCGGCCAGGACAAGATTTGAGGTGGGACACTTCTCCAGCGGTGTTCCAATGGACAATTCTGCAACGACCAATGAGGCCAAGTCCTGAAGAAGAACCACTTCCCTGATGGTGTCTTCTTGTGACACTTCATTTCATGACACGGAACCTCATATTGTTCTCGTTAACAGTGAATAGCACCAGATTGTCTGTTAAATGTCGCCCACTCTGCAACGACTGCGCCTCGGGCTATTCCCTCATCTGTGTTGCTTTCTTTAGTTTTTTTTCATTTTTGCCCATATATTTTTCCTTACCCGGTTGGGGGATTTAGATCAGACTACCTACTGATGTTCTGAACCAGGATAAATGTCCTCAAAAGTCAACTGGCTGTTACATTTGTTGTTTCAAACAAGGTGTTCCTCTCACCTCTCCAGGATAAGACCAGGTGAAGCTTACGTCGATGTCCGGCTCCCCTATCACGCTGCAAGTCACGTTGACGTTGTCGCCTCCACTGACCAGCTCAGAAGAAGCCTGCAGGCTCACAAAAGGTGGACTACTGGGGACTGTTGACAGCAGAAAGTGTGCAAGAATTGTCAGGAACAGTTTTCTTCACCTTTGTTGAACCATTAAACGAGAGTTAACAAGCACAAGTAAAGCCGGCTTGACCTTCTACATAGAGCAACTGATATTTTGTGGAGATCTGCGGTGTTCCTTTGGTCACGGCCTTGCAGTAGAAAACTCCCTGATACTCGAGGCCGGGTGTCTGTAGGACAAAACCCTTGGCGGGATCATAGTTGACCAAGGTTTCATTGGCCTGGATCTCCTCAGGCGGTACTTCTCTGTGTAACGACACTTTGGCCTGCGGAGTGGTCACACGACATGGCACCACAGCTGGCTTGTCCGGACGGAGATATACAATCTCGAAGTGGATATCCGATGGGACAAAGAGGTTGTCCTTGTCTGTAAAGGATTTTGAGCACTGATTAGTGTTTTAATTTTAGAATGCAAGTAAATGACTTTAACGAATAAAGCATAATGTCAGCCAGTCGTTATTCACTCAACTTCCTATTATAGGATTGACCGTTACAGTGGTCAGTAGCAAATTTGAATCAGAGATGGCGCTATGCGTCCTTCAACGTTTTTAAAAAAATGTCTACTTTTTTTCTATCCATTCGGATGTTTTTAGATTCAAACATTTTTGACCTATAAATTTGACCTTCAGAAGCTTGTGCAATACGGATTTTACCATGCGTTGCAATTTATAGCTATGTCGTTTCAGAAAAAAAATCCACCGGTTGCTGAACCTAACCCATAATTCATGAATATTACAAAATATACTATATTATTATTATTATTATTACCGGTAATAAGAATAAGAATAAAACCTAATGTGCTTGAGAAAAAAAAGAGGGCAAATTCGGAATCAACTCAAAAAAATCCATTTAAAAAATTTTACTAGCATCTCTGATTTTAAAAAAAAACAAATGTAGTAAAAATGTGCTGACCAGTGAGTCATGGAGCCTTTTTTTTGCATACTATAAAGAGGAACCATAAATCTGAGAAAATTCTACATTGGTGGGTTCCAGTGGTGGCATGTATTGATCGGGTTGTATCAGTTCTTCAATTTTCTCCAAACACTGCACCTTAGTCTTGGTGTTTACATTGTCATGATATTGCCCCCCACTTACACGATCAGTTGCGCGGATTTTCTGTTCCGAGCAGGTTGTGAATTTCAAGTTTTTTTCAACTCATTGGAATCATGGGTGAACCTACCCCTGCTATTCCAGCTGTCTTTGGGAAAGAAATGGGGTACGCAAAGAACTTGTAAACAGTCAATTGCAGGGAGCATATAGAAGAAAAAACTCACCTATTAAGACTCATTTATGTTTTCAAAAGAACCAAATATGCCTTCATTGCTTGAAGCAGATTGAGAAAAGGAAGTGCCCTAAACTGATTTGACACGCTTTACAAAAGCTGTTTGTTCATTCACCTGCAAAATAGATGTTGGAGGAGTACACATGTTCGTGGTCCTTTTCACACTCACGACCATCACACACGACCACCCAACAACTGTACTGTCCCGTATCGGCAGCTGAGGGCGACGTCAGGGTGAGCTGACTATACTTGTCACTCTGTACGATGCTGGAGGTGGAAAGGAGAAGAGAATATGGGAAGCCATTTGAGTATTATGATGATATCCTTGAGATCCATCTTGAGGTGCATGTATGGACAATTCTGCAACGACCAATGAGGCCAAGTCCTGAAGAAGAACCACTTCCCTGATGGTGTCTTCTTGTGACACTTCATTTCATGACACGGAACCTCATATTGTTCTCGTTAACAGTGAATAGCACCAGATTGTCTGTTAAATGTCGCCCACTCTGCAACGACTGCGCCTCGGGCTATTCCCTCATCTGTGTTGCTTTCTTTAGTTTTTTTTCATTTTTGCCCATATATTTTTCCTTACCCGGTTGGGGGATTTAGATCAGACTACCTACTGATGTTCTGAACCAGGATAAATGTCCTCAAAAGTCAACTGGCTGTTACATTTGTTGTTTCAAACAAGGTGTTCCTCTCACCTCTCCAGGATAAGACCAGGTGAAGCTTACGTCGATGTCCGGCTCCCCTATCACGCT